ACCAAGTCTTGCTAATAGTCCATCCATTTTCTCCATTATAATTTTCTGGACATTTTTCAATTTTTATTGCCTTTTGTACATCCGTTTGCTAAAATGCGCTTCTTTGTTCGGTATTTTGACTTTGTCAAGTGTCCACTGATCTTGGCGTATTCAGCTACTGCGGACTTTTCTGTCCTTTAGCAATCTACGTCTTTTACGTTTTCTTTTATTCTTGTTTCAATAGCTCTTCCTATTTGTCCAATGTATAATTTATCATATGATACGGTATTTTATAGATTCCGGGTGTTTACATTTCTGGCAGTTTGTCTTTCGGGTTTCAGAGAAGTGATCCTATAACTGTGTTTTCTTTGTAAACTGTTTTTATTTTGAATTTATTTGCGATTCGTGAAATGGGGTCGGTAATTCCTTATATGTACGCCAGTATTAGTGTTCCTTTTTTTTCATCATCATTATTGCACTTGTATTTTTTCTTTTTTTCGCCTTTTTAAGTGCCTTGTTTATGTTTTTGATTGTATATCCATTATTTCGTAGTGCTTACCATAGATATGTTTTTTTAACTTTCATATGTTCTTCATCAGAAATTATAACAGCTCTTATTGCCATTGTCTAATAGACACATTAGGCCACCGCAATACCGCTTTGATAAATGTTCTACGCAAATATTAATATTTTTGAATTTTGTTTTGGCCAAGCCAGAGGAATAATTAAAAAAATATTAGTGTCGATCTCTCAATAAAATATACTCTCACAAAAATATACTTATTCAATAAAATCAAATGAGGATTCATTTTTTAATTATATTTATAATAAAAATATAGAACGTGTAGAATCTCTTACATATAATAAAACAGTCATAGATTTTGTGTAACGGTTTCGTATTATTTATAATTTAACGGTTTTTTTACGGTCATATTAACTGTATAACGCGTAGTGTATAGCGTGTAAATTCAAAATTAACAGTATAGGCCAGTCAACAAAGGAAAAATGGCGGGAAAAATTCCCAACAAAATTTTTTTTTTTTTTTAAGTGAATTAAGATATGTATAATGACATACTAAAAGTCCTCATCGATTGGATTTGAGCTTTTTTTTTACAGTCTCGCAAAAGTTCAAAAATATGAGCTTTTTTAATTTTCTCAAAAAATATTTTAACATTTATTCGATATGGTTCAACCCCGAAATCAATTCACTATTTTGTCATAACGCTTGTGTTCATTTTTATTTGACCATTGCAAACAAGTGTTATTCCGACATTTATTATCTTGTCTGATTTTCCATTATTCGGCTATATATCTGCTACATTATATATTTACGAGGTGTGACAATAAAATAACGAGACTTTTTTAATAAAAGTTATTTATTTTTTAAATTTTACAATTTAATGATTGTCACCTTCAAAGTACTTTCCCTCAGCATCAACACACTGTTGCATACGTCGCTGCCTTTTTTGAAAACAATGTTGCCAATCGCTTTCAGTTAGCCCTTTTAGAAGTTCTGCCATTTTCATTTTTACGTCATCAACCGTTTGAAAATGGGTTCCTTTTAATAAATTTTTAATTTTTGGGAGTAGGAAAAAGTCACAAGGAACAAGGTCTGGCAAGTACGGTGGATGTTGAAGTATAGAAATTTTTTTTCAGTTAAAAATCGTTGAATTGAAAATGCACTGTGAGCTGGAGCATTGTCTTGGTGAAGAACCCAGCCACTCTTCCACAGATCTGGTCGCTTTTTTCTAACACGTTCTCTTAATTTAATTAATACCTCTTAATAATAATATTGGTTGACAGTGTGCTCACCAGGAACCCATTCAACAAAAATTATTCCCTTAATGTGAAAGAAAACAATGAGCATTGCTTTGAATTTCGACTGCTAATTCGTGCTTTCTTCATTTTTGAGGAAGTTGGTGATATTATTTATAAAAGATGGATCACGTTTGATGATTTATAAGGTGTCAGAACAAATTTCTTTGGGATTGAATTTTTGATCAAATTTTTAGGGACCATTTTAACATATACTTTTTTCATATTTAAATTTTCAACTAAAATTTTACGAGCACTTTCTCTATCAATATTTACCATCTCTGCTATAGCTCTAACACTTAATCGACGATCTTGCCGAATAATTTTGTCGATTTTTTCAACGTTTTCGTTTGTTGAACATGTGGTAGAACGTCCAGAACGATCATCGTCTTCCACGTTCTCTCTTCCATTGCAAAACCGTTTGAGCCATTCAAAAACGGGAGCTCTTGATAACACATTCTTCAACATAAACTTCACATAACATACGAAATGATTCCGCGAAAGTTTTTTTTAATTTAACAAGAAATTTAATTTTAACACGTTCGATTTTTATATCTAACATTTTTCGGCAGTATAATCGAATTCGCACTAATAACAAGGTTACTAACGTATAAGAAAATTAACCGATTTCATCAGTGTTTATAGTACTTTTAGACAAGTGTTTCCTAATCATATTTCAATAACCGTTTTAAAGATAACGTTAATAGTTTAGGTTAGATTTAGAAAGTCTCGTTATTTTATTGTCACACCTCGTATTCTAACAAAAAACCAGTCTTCATATTTTCTTTTGGTATATTATAAGCATTCACACCTTCATATTAGAATTTACACAATTTTACTTTATTTTTATTCCTTTTAACTGGCATATATAAAAATCATATACTCCTACCTAACCATTCCATTTCATTCTTAAATTTCTCTTTTCCACTTATTTTCTTTTCTTTTTGATTTATTACATTTTATATATTATTGCTATTAGTTAATTGGCTTCTAAATTTTAAGTAAAAATATGTAATTCGTTTTGTATCGTTGAACGTACGGCAATACCGTAACATTATTCTATGTCCTAACTATGACTAAATAGAAACAAAAATTTAGAAAATTTGTAATTTATTTCTTTACTAAAAAAATTAAACCAATTTTAGAATTATGAAATAGCTTTAATTATGGTTTAATTTTAAGTAAATAATTGGTTGCCTTTAATTAAATACAAGTTGAATAAATTATACATATATTACCATTAATTATTCCAAAATACAAAATGTGTAATACCAATAAGTATTTTGTAAAATCAAAATTATAATATTGATAAATTTATTTATTGATTTAGTATCCTGAAGTCAATTTTTAAGTTTATACGAAAATAAATTTATTTTAAGATTTTAAATTTATACATTTTTCTTTTTATTCCTTCAAATTATTTTTGAGTTGTTTAAATTTTAAATATACATAGTTTGCTTGAAGTGCTTTAGGATATGTCCACGTTTGCAGTTGAATTCTGACGTTTCGGACTAAACTGCAATCATGGATGTATCCTCAAGCACTTCAAGCAACAAGACAATCCATGAAAGCTTTAATACATTCATATACGTAGTTTACTTCAATATTCAAATTAATTCATTTAAAACCCCATTTTTGTAACATATCAGCTTTTGGATTTATTTCATAATTAATAATCACTTTAAAAAATAATATTTTATAATTACAACTTAACTAAAATCAATTATAGACTTTTTCAACAACGTTTATGATGGACATAAAGAGTTTAAATAAATATTAAAAAACGCGTATCAATGACTTTTTATTCCAGACATGTACTCATTGCATTTTCACGGAGGCCATTCCAAAATAACTTTTACATCTTATTGTTTTGCGATTTGCATAACTATCGTCTGATATTTTTCACTTTCCACGGTGTTTCGTACAGCTGTATAATCTACACCGACAGCGAGTATACCTGTTCACTTGTAATGGATATTTGTACCATATCGTTAAATTGGGTATGTTTGATATCACTCAACCAAATACGCCAGGCTGTCTTAAATGCCAACCGTCAGGATAAGATAAAGCTTTGCCACAGTCACAGTCACTGCTTTTATCACGATCATTTTCATCTTCTGAATCCCTGGTACAGTAATTTTAGAACTTGAACGAATTGCTTGACCACTATGTCAATAGCGCACTCTTTCTGAATCCCTGGTACCATATTTACAACTTTTTTAGCGTCTCGCATACAACGTATTGAAACTTGTGAAAACCTGATGGTTAAGTTGCCTGAACAAAACCCCTTGAATCTAACATACTTAAAAATTGTGTAGATTATGTAAGTTTTATTCTCGTTTATGTTTAATTTATACATATACATTATTCAGTTTTTTAACACATGATTTATTTTTAGTAGCTCTTATTTTTTAAAATAGAAAAAAATCAAATTGAGAAATACTATTTTGGGTTTACAAAAAATCATATTATCATTTATACAAAAGTATTTTGAACTATTTTTTGAAATCATCTCTCTAAGTTATTCATTGTGCGGGTAAGACGGTAATGCTTAAATAGACCAGTGCAACCGAATTGGACGTGATACTTACGTCTCAAGACACGACACGTTATGACTGAACTGGGTATATAACTGCCTATATATTAAACAACAACTAAAAATCTGTATGCCAGAAGCCAATTTTGTTTACAAACTCATATTTTTCAAATTAAATAATACAGTTTCTTTAATATTGAATTAAGACATTAAATAAGCAAAAAAATTAATGGTTGGATTTTGGTGGATAGAAAGGTCCTCGTGACTTACAGAAATGGAGACAAAAATCAACAAAAGATACCATTTGAATCAATTTATTTTCGACTGTGCACGGAACACCAAACAATTGCACGTTTAATTTATCTTACAAAATTTTAAAAGAATGGTGAAATCTGCTTAGTGTTATCCCAGGGGATATTAAGTAGCCAAAGTACTCCCTTCTTAATTGCGCCTTATACTGCTACTACGCAAAAGCATCTATAAAACCGCATCATATAACAATAGAATTAAAAACTTATAATTGCATGTTAAATTAGTTATTTATGATCACCTACTAATCATAGGGTTTTATCTGAAATACTTTGATAGTAGTTTTTTCAAATGATAATAAAATTAATTACATCTAATTCTATTAGTATTTTTTGGGTGAAATAAAAAATTAACACGCAAGTTAACAATTGCACATTTTATTTAATCCACAACGGGGGAAACAATTAAATATTATAAATATAGTTAAAAAATATCTATTGTTACGATTGGTTAATTTTCAATGTTACAGTAATAGTACCAATTGGTAAGGTACGCAATTACTTATTATGTTAAATTGAAATTACATGTTACATAAAAATAAATAAAAATCGAAAAACGTAATAATACAATATTGGCACTTATAAAAATTGAAACTTTCATTAACCATCAGAAATTTATTTACAATTGATAAATATTATAATAATTAATTATAAAAAATAATAATACAAATACAATAAATAACAAATTTTATTACATTAAATCGTATTTATTACAATATGGTTAAAAAAATTTTTATTTTTAGTTTCAAATAATGGCACTTGAATCTAACAATGTTTTAATTAATTAAACATTTTTTGAAAAATACAAATTGGATTTCAATTAGAAGATTAAACAACAAAAGAATACAAAATCGTACATACAATTAATACTTTTAAATTAAATTAAATTTAAATTAATAAACTAGACAGGATTAATTAAGAGATTAATCAACATTGGTTTGATTAAATAATTATATATATAAAAAAAAAACTTTAATTAATGTGTTAATCCGCGTATTAATCGACATCATTGGCAGGTTATAGTCGGAATGGTTCTCTTGATGAATCCGATCCGGGTTTAGAATTTCTTCTCTTAGTGTCGGACGCATTGGACGGCTTACGTGACAAGTTGGCTGACGAAGGTGTTGCCAAAGGCGATTGCAATCTATATAACAATTAAAACGTAAAATATTAAATTAGAAAGTATTAGCATTTTGTGGACCAAACAATTCAAAAAGCGAACAAGAACAATAATACGCAAAATGATTTCAAAGCTACCGAATTGATTAATCAAACGAATCTAACTCTAAGAGACGTGCAGTTCAATTAAAACATTTTTCAGGCTCATATTTTTTTTCATGTTCTTTTCTCACAAACACGCGAAATTCTTTATTAAATTATTAAGCAACTCATGGATACATTATTTGTGTCAAATCAACTGTATTATCAACAACAACGCGGTTACTCTATCGTTTCGAGATGAGATGTGAACAATTGACATGTTAAAAGCAAAACAGGCAAGCAATGGGTATTTGCACACAAAAAACACAGACACTTAATCAGTTTTTGTGCTTTACCCGGAAGAAGGTGCCGAAGACATTGGTGACACCATTGGCAAAGTCGAATCGCGTGACGACGGCTGCCCCAGAAAAATGGGTATTTTTGAACCGTGGCTTCTGCTGTAGAACGCGAGTAGAAAATAAAATTATGTTAAAATAATTCTAATAGTGTATAGTTCATTAGTAGAGAGCAGGATATAAGAAAAATTAATAGGAATTATGAACGGAAATAGTATTCTTATAGGAATATGTTATAAGATAAAACAGTAGGAATTAAGATGTAAATATTGTTAAAGATAACTAGGGCTAGAAATTATATGTATTCATAGATTTTGTTTGAGACACTTTGAAGGGCCCCGAGTTTGTGGAAATTTTTCATCAAATTATAAAGTAGCGTAGAAATATTTTCTATTTTAAAGAGGATAATCCCCAAACCATAAAAAAAAAATAGTAATATATTACTTTGGTAACAACACATTACTAAGTTTTCAAGTCAATTGATAAAAATTTATACTGGCTGATGGTGTGTTCATTTATAAATGCATATAATTTCTAGATAACTGATCTGACAACGTAGTTAACAGGTCATGCTCAAAGATTAATTGTATAAAATAAATTAATAAATATAATAAAACATCTTAAATAAATTTATGTTAGTAATTACCTAGAGCTGGAGTTAGACAACGTGGGTATACTCGAAGACCTGTGCATTGACAGGGACCTGAAGTTAGTGAGTTAAAAGGGATAATTAGTAGTGAACTACAGGTATTACTATTAATGTATAAAAAATATTTAAATATTAAATATGGTAAAAAATAATTTACCTATTGGATGATGTCGTAGATTGGTTAGCAAGAGGACCTGGCGATCGTCCTCTACTGCTAACCTGTCCGTTTGTCTTACGAGCAGTCGACGTTTTTCCGGGTGTCAGTCTCGGTATACGACTTGGAGTGTTCGAATCTGTAAATATGCAATAAATGTATCAATTAAAATCATGCAAATAAATGCATTTCTCTATAATATAATTCAAAGTATTTAAATTAACAATAAAATTTAACTTCAAGTATAGTTGGAGGGATTACAATCCACACTACAGTCGGAATTTACTTTAGTATCAGTGTCTTTTGGTACACAAAAATGTCGGCAATTATAACAATAGCTGTTTTTTGAAAATTATAAATTGAAACAAATATTAAGAGTTGAATAATACCAATATTGATCAATGTCATAGCGAATAGCAACACTAGCCCATGACCCCTCGCCTCGAAATGTTGTTTTTATTTCATTAGTATAAAAAGGAAAAACAAAGGTTTAAAAATTATTTTATAAGTGGTAACTGCTCTTCCCTCTATGTACATTACTTTTTTTTTTATTGTGGCGATGATGTTAATTAAAATAAGCTTACCAGTACTGTCGAGCGACAAGTTGGAGCCGTGTCTACTAGGAGGTTTACTTCCTTGACGGCTTTGTGGTCTGCTACCGGGACGACTGGCCGGAAGACTACTGGTATAACCACCTATGCTTGACTTTCTGGTAACTGGTGTTGAACCCTTTCTAATGGGCGTTCTGGAGTATGGTGACGATTCATTATCGCTCAATGAGTCGGGAGTTTTAACCGTCCGGTTAACTCCCATTTTACCCATTGGCTCGCTCCTAGCACTTCTTTCCCTTACCTATTCAGTACAATGTGCATAAATTAAATTTCATGAAAATTAAAAATTATATACAGACGGCAACCCGTGCAACCTCATTTAGATCGACGATATAATAAAAAAAAAATTTATTGTATGCATCTTATTGAAAAATAAAAATTATGTTGATTTTACCCAAAAAGTGTTGTTTTGTCTGCCGTGACCCATCGCTAGTGGATACGAGCACGGTAATGTTTCACGTTGTCTTAAGCTCTCGAATATCGGCATCAACTCTCTCATAAACTCTTCAGCTATTTTCATTAAATAAAAAACAAAACTTTCCATATAAAACCGTCTCATCGTCACTCCTCATTTGCGGTGCCTCGACTTAATTTAAGTTTTTTTAATCAATTTTTGTTTTTCAAAACTCTTGAGAACGTCATAGTTAAGTACTTTGACGTGAACCGTTTATTTACCTCTAACCACTTTAACGACAGTTTTATCAAGTCACACAAAATGGTAACATCCATTTAAATATATACATAAATATTCTTTAAAAAAAAATATAACGGCAGACAGACCGGAAGTTAAAAGGATCTCGAACCAACAGATTACAATATTATACGTATTATTATATCAAACGTAGCGCTAAGTATACTATATGCACACGCAAAAAACAATTCAACAGCGTAGGCGAAAACATTATAAAAATAATTATTAAAAGCCAAAAATATCGTTTCACGCAATGCAAATAATTTTTTAAATAAATTATTCATCGTTACACTAAGTTAAATGTTATACAAGATAATTGTTGACAAAATTGTATTTTTGCACCTTAATATTCGTATAACTTGGTATTAAATTATCCGAACAAAAAAAAAAAAAAACCGACATAAATAAATAAATAATATTTTTTCAGTTGTGACTTTTTCTTATAATAATAGTCTAACAAGTCATAGAACTTAGTGTAGCGATATATTTACTGCTTTATCATTAAATACTGTAGCGAAATGCAATTTTCAGTAAAAAATAGGCATTGTGTGTCTTACTTGAGAAATGTAAAATTTATGTGTGTATAATAAATCTGATAAAATAATATTATTATTATTTTGCCACATTACCTTTGTAATGGGTCCAGCAGTGGACCCAGATCTCTGTTGCTGTTGAGTGTTGTGTTTGGATTTGAACGCGGACATGCTCTGTGACACGCCGTCGGCCAATATGAACTGCTCGCGGAGCTCGATGTTTGTGCGTCCTTTGGCTGCGTGAGTGCGAATAAATAGGAAATAGTATATGAGAAAAGGTAGTGAGAAGGAAAAAGTTGGTTAAAAGAAAAAAAAAAAAAAAAACGCATCACAAAAGTGTAAAAATAAACAAAATAAAATAATATCAAAATAAATCCAGGTTAATGTTAGTAAGTAACAATGATAAAAAAAAATAGGTGAAGCAAGATGATGAAGAACATAAAGCCAATACTCCGGATTAGTGTCCTTACGCCGAAATATTCGGCCAAATAAATGTCACCAGTTTTTTTTAATAAGCATGCATGTAGAAATATTTAATTATTATAGAAAAATGATTGATATTAATATGAGTAAAATTATACGAGGATTGATGTAAAGTATGAAAGGAGTTGGTAATAGTTAAATATTTTTTTTTATAATACTAACTAAACTGAACTACAATGCAAATGCATAAGTTGGCAATTTTATGCATGTAAAGCAACGTCACATTTAATGCAACCAAATACTGATATGAATCTAGAACACAACACATTTAACCAAAAGATTATGAGGATCCTGTAGTTAGGCATCAGTTGAAAAACAATAATTCGTGTATATAACCCATTGAAAATACAAAAATTCAAGTTAAAATCGTGTAAAATAATATAGCAATAACACAATAGTAGAAAACATAATCAGAAAAAAAATAAGATAGAAATCGTACAATTCAATTGTATCATACTGTAAGGACACCAAGGTTCGTGTTGATCGGGCATAAATGGGTTGGGCATTGGCATCATTTCCACTATAATTTCATTATGTCAAGTGAAATTCAAAAATAAAGTAGTAATAATAAACGAAAAAAAATTATAAATAAAATTAAGAAATTAGGATATAATTAGGAAGACGGGATAAAAAAGAAAAATACAAATAAAAATATGAATACAGTAGTATTAAATGTTATAATAAGTACTATATAAAAACCAAAAGCCTTAAGTGTTATGTAATAATGATAATGGTTATACATGCGTTAAATTAAATTAAGTATATGTATGTATACATTTAGATAAATGAGTTATCATTTCTCAAGAGCTTTTTTTTATTTAATAATATTCTATTAATCTATGTTGTTATTAGTTAAATTATTTATTATTTTTCTTAGATTTTCATTTAGTTAACTGATGAATACAACTTTTACCATTGTATTAAACGAGGCACCGGTTAAGAGGTACTAGAATGAAATTAATTTATTAATTATTAGTTATACAGATAATTTTTAATAATCCCGAGTGTTAAAAACCCATGGGTTAAACATATATAATTTAATTAAAAATTTATATAGGTAAAAATAATTACCTCTGCAAGGATCATTTTTAACTAAAAATTCGTCTAGGGCGACCCATCCACCACCAACACGTACCATGACAGTAGATCGTAGAATACGCACTAGACGTAGTTTTTGGCTGTCACCAAACTATAACAAAAATTTTTAAACATATTAAGCATCACTGATCAATTTTTTAACATGTTCTTGTTAAAATACATACTCTATATCTTCCTTCACCGACTTGGAATACTCTGAACTTCTGTCGACAAGTACACAACATTACTAATCGTTTCACTTCATCGTGAATTTTTTCAGCTTCTGTATCTGGTTTCTTTTCTTCCCAGTCAGGTCGTAATGCAGCAATAAATTCTTTCCAGTCAATCAGACCTAATCCATCATGATCAAACATATCAGCAACAGCATTCATTTCTAATTTACTAGTATCAAATTTAGTTTTTATTATTCCATCAATAAAATCATCTCTTGGAATTAAACCATCGTTATTTTTATCCATTTTTCTGAAAAGATCTGTGAGACGTGACTTTTTGTGATTCATGAAGTTCAAGAACTATAAAACAATATATAATGCTGAAATTGTACGATGAGTATAATAATTTAAGGGTTACATACTCGCTTTCTCCATTGATCCCAAGAGAAGTTTCTAACTTTATCGAGTTCCTTTAAGTAGTTAAGATGTTCTTGAAGTCGACGCTGGCGTTCCCAAGCCATTAACCATACATTGTGCCATTTATCCCAAAGTTGACGACAACGTGAGTTACGTAATAAAGGTTCTTCCACTTTGCTACTCAGGTAAAAAAAATCAATATCATTATTATATCCTCTGAATAAGTCTTATTAATACATAAATAAGTATAATAATCAAATGTTTAATATTTTGGTCAAAAATTTAAAGTATATCAACATTTAACTTTAAAAAAGTTAATTGTTAGCTGGAGTTAACAGTACTACCTCTATGTTTGTAAACAATTTAAAAAATATACATATATCAGTAAATAAATTTTATAATTTATTTATGTATACCCACCTTCCTTTAGCTGGGAATCTTGGCCCAATATGTGGTAGTTGGTCTGTAGATTTGTCTTTAACAGCTGTACTAGTTCGACTAAAAATAAAGTATTGAATAAATACATGAAAATTATTATCCATATTCTTGAATTAATTGAAATTGTTAGAAAAAAATCTTAAATATGTTTTGTCCATCATAAATATTATAATTGAAATTAAAATAAGTGGGTACAAAGTGCAGGGAAAAAATATAATGCAAAACCACTATAGGCTTATACAAGTACAAAAGAACACCAATAAAATAATAATCCATACAGAAAAAAAGTTCTAACAGTGCAAAGTGCAATATAAAATACAAACCTGAATCTACGTTGATCAGAAAGATCATGGGTACTGCCAACTAAATCTTCACGGCTGAAATGTGCAAAAGTGCATTTTTATTATTATAAAGCGTGCGCTCATAGTGATTTTATAAAGCAAAATAAAGTGTTGACAAAAAAAAAAAAAAAAAAAAAAAAAAAAAANAGAAAAAAAAAAAAAAAAAAAAAAAAAAAAACAAGCCACTTTTTAAAAATAATAACAGTGCAATTAAAAATCATAACTTTACTAAAATTAAATACCTGACTGTGGATGTTTTTTTAAGAATTGAAGGCTTTCTGCCGGCTGGTGCAGCAGGTTGTTTAGCCTTACAAACAGCATCAACTTCAGATTGCCTTTTAGCAGTGTTTTCCATAAACTCACGATGTTCTTCAATAAGTTTTTCTGTTACTTCAATACTTTCTGGTAGTGGCTCAGATTCCAAGTCTAAAAGTCGATTTTCTAACTTAGTTAACCAAGAAAATAGTTCTTCCAATAAAGAGTCCAAGTCTTGGAGAGACTGTAAGTGTTCGAGGAGTTTTTGTTCACGCTGTGAAAAAATTTTTAATTTATTGTAAAACATCAAAAGTGACTTGCATAATTTAGTCAGAAATGGTCATGCCTTGGTATACCAATAACAAAATAGATTCTCAGTTATAAAAATTCCTCATTCTCTACACTATAAGGTTCAGAACCTTTTTTATATCCAAGTATCACTTACATATTTTGAAAATTTTCAATGTATTACTAATCTTCTCCACACTGAAAAATTACACATTAAAAGTCCACTTTGAAGATAGTAATTAAAATTATTTAGATATAAGTACACTTATCAAAATGTATGCTTTATTCTTATTGATTCTTTAATTAATTATTATAAAGTAATGAAAATATCTATTTTTATGTGAACTTAATATTTAATATTGATAATAATTGAAAATTTTCTATGTGTATCAGCTATGATCTTTCCACATACCACTAGTAGTATGTGTAGCATAGATTGAGAAAAACTGGTCTACACTATAAGCAAAATCTTACAAGAGATGTTAAAATAAATAATAAAATAATTCTTAAGAGTATTAACTAAAAAAATTGCAAACCTGTTGTGCCCAAGACCATACTTCTTCCCACCTAGACTGTATAATTGTAATCCAGTGTTTTATCACATTAATAGCATCTGGGTGAGCTTTTTCTAAGATGTTCTGAGCAAGACTAACAGTTGAATCCTTTTCATGTTTTTTATCAGACATTTCGTCCATAAACTTTCTATGGTCATTAAGTTGACTTCTAGTTTCTTGCTCATTATCTGGTAGTGGTCCAATAAATCGGAGTTTCATTTCAGCATCTGATAACCATTCTAATAACATGTGAACTGACTTGTGCAATTGTTCAGCCTTAACAAAAATATTAAATATAAATAAATAATACAAATTAATAATTTTAACTTAGTAAGTACTTGTCTTAGTGCATCTTCTAATCTTTCTGTGCGCTTATTACATAATTTACTAGTACGGTTCCACAAACTTTCTAAATCATCCAACTGAGATTGAATAGCAGCTCGATCATTAGCACTTGCTTTAGACATTAAATCTTTTCCAGTCTGTTTAACTGTTCTCATTTGGTCATGACGTTTAGACAATGTTTCTTCAAAAGCCTATCATCAAACAATTTTACCAATATTAATAAATTTTTTAGATATTATTATGTTAATAGAAATATATTACCTTATGTTGTTCAACTAATGCCATTACAGTGTCTAAATCCCCATGAACTGGTCCATCATCAGTTAATCTCTTTTCTGCTTTTCTCAGCCAGTCTAAAAGTGCTTCCATGGCATCTTTAAATTGTCCACAATACAATAAAGCTTCTTCTAGTTTTCTTTGTCTGTCTACAGATTTGGTACACACTAAATTCCATTTTTCTTTTAGTTCATTTATCATTTTGTTCAAAGCATGTTCGTCGTTCTTTGGTGCTTTTTCTTTCAAGCTTTTACCCATTCTCATTGTTGAATCATAAGTTCCTTGCTTAGCACTAAGAGCACGCTGTACATCTCTATGTTTAGCTAAACGTTGTTTAATACGTTCAGGATCATTACCAACTGTAGAGTCTTGTGCTAAATCATCCAAATTCTTTTCAGTGTTATTAAGCCACTCCATTAGGCCTGACCAAGCTTCATGGAATTCACGAGCTTCTTTGTAGCCATGATCAAGTGCTCTTGTTCTTTCTGCACTTTTTGATACAACACGTTCAAAACGATGCTGAACGCTGTTAGAACAAATATAATTATAGTATTGAAACATTATTTCAACATTAAAAGTAATTTATTTACCTGATCAGCAAGTTTTTGATGAGAATAACATCTTGTTTTTGTGAGAAATACTTGAGATGTGTACCTTTTTTATCTAAGTGAAGCATAACTTCTCGGTGTGAGCTAACATCTTTTTGGAATGCTTTGTGATCTTCAATTTGTGACAAAATAGTGGGTAAAATACGAGATACAGGTTTTAAGTTTGATAAAGTTTTTTCAGCATCAGTGAGCCAATCAACAAATGCCTGAAAATAAGTAAAATCAAATTAAATATAAAAATTTATCATGAGAATTTATATTAAAAATGTATGATATTCTTACTTGGAGGGCATTATGAAACTCAGTAGCTTCTTTTAGGGCTATTTCTAGTTTAATTTTTTTGTCATTGGCCCTAGCTGTAACACTATCCCATCGTTGTTTCAAAATCTTTAAGTTATGAGCTAAATTACTAGAACCAGGAGATTTTTTAAGATATTCTTGTCCTTGAGCTAAAACTGTTTCTACTTTAGGCCTATTAGATTCCAATTCATTGTAAACTTCCATAAATCTTTCTAGTTGTTCACTAGCTGTTTCTGGTAAACCTCCAACTGGTTTAGATGTGGCTATAACACCATCTATTTCTCCAAGCCAGGACAAAAGATCTTGTATTTCTGCCCCAAAACGTTGTGCTTCTGTAAGAGCATCTTCTAACTCTAATTGACGGTCAGCTGCTTTTTGCAATAAATCTCTCCAATTTTTATTAAGGAGATTGAGTTTATCTTGTGTATTATTAGCTTCTGCTGAACCTTTGCTACTTTCAATCAATTGACGTCCTGCATCATTCAAAGTATCTACACTAGATTGATGAGCATGAATATCATTTACTAAAACTTTGAGTTTAGCCAGCTCAACTTCAAGAAGTTGGGAATCCCCAGGTACTGGTTTCAAATCCCTGTCTAAAGTTTTATCGGTAGCATCTATCCATGCTAAGAGTTCAGCTAAAGCATGATGGAATTGACCCAAATGTAAAAGACTATTTTCAAGTTGGCGTTGTCGCTCAACAATTCCCTTCAAAAGATTTTCCCATCTTCTATTAACTTCTGATAATGGTTTTTTAAGAGCAGCTGCTTGTTCAGCAGATGTTCTTTCAGTAAGTTCTTGAGCTTGTCTAGATAAAAATAAAAAATTATAAATTAGTAAATTAAGTAAATAAGATAAATTACTACACAAAAAATTACCTAGTCATGGACCTTTAAACATTAATTAAATTAATCCCACGAAAGCATATATAAAATGTTTATACAACAATAGTTATTTTAAAATAAATAGTTATCCATAAAATATAATTTCATTTTTTATTACCTATTTAAAGCTTCCACTTTTACCATTTGGGGATCAATGTCAGATTTGAAATTTTTAAGTTCATTAATTTGTTTTTTGACAGCTTGGATATCTGTTCCTAAAGGTCCTAAATTTGCAAATCTCCTTTCAGCTCCATCCAAGAATTTGAGTAAGTCCTTTAAAAAATATATAAAAATATGAATAATACATAAGCAAATAAAAAAAAAAAAAAAAACAATAATAATAATATATACTTGTAATGTTTCATGGAATTCCATTGCCTTATCCATAGCACTAATAAGATTTTCTTCACATTTAGCAAACAAAGCTGTGACAGTTTCCCAAGCATTATCTAGATCTTCAATATGTTTTTTGACTTCAGGTTTGTCTGGTTCACCACATACTTTCATCAACTTTTGGCCACTTGCACGACATTGATCTACTTCAGGTTTAGTTTGATCAATTTCTGCTTTTATTTCTTTTAACACGGCTTTTTGTTTTTTTAACATGGCAGGTTCCACTGCTGGTGCCTCTTGTGATAGCAATGAATCTTGAATGTTTTTAAGAGTAGCCATTACGTTTTGTAATTCATCCCAGAACTTTTCAGCTAATTTGAGAGCTTCTTCTAGACTACGACCACGATCATTAGTTGCATCTTGAACTTCATTCCACAGACTATTCAAACGATCTAATTTACGTTTAATATCTTTAACAGCAGGATCAGAAGCATTAGGAGCCTTATTGATAACATCATTTGCTGCTTTTTTAACAGCTTGGAATGCATTAGCTCTTTTGTTAAGGTCTTCAACAATTGCATCATTTTCTTCTTGTTGGTCACGGATTTTAGGAGGATGAGCAGATATAGGTTCAGCACCAGATACTTGTTCAGCTGTATTTTGTAAAGCTCTAAGCATACCTTCTAATTTATCACTAAATTGGCTTGTCTCTTGTAAAGCTTTTTCTAAAGCTTGTTGTCTCTGTCTGAGTTCAGCTCTCAATGCAGCATACCTAGCATTATCACTATCTAGAATATCTTGAATTTTAATTCCTTCTTCATCATTACATAGTTTAATCAAAGCTTCGCCTGTTTTATTAAGTTTGTCAACTAATGGTTTATGTTCTGCTATTGACTGAATAAATTGTTCATTTTTATCTTGTTGCTGGGCAATTAATTCAGGTCTAAGTGCTGGCATGGCTAAAACTTGAACTTGTCTTTCCATATCATCTAACCAGCGAGATAAATCATAGTGAGACTCTTGAAAATGAAGAGCTAATGGTAAAGCCTGTTCAAGTATACTTAATCGCTCAGCACTTAAGGCTGACACTGTGTCCATCACTTCACGTAAATCTTCCATCTTTTCACGCATTAGACTAGCATCATTATTCTGAGCCACTTCTCTTAAAACTTTCTTGGCCATAGATAATACATCTCTTCCACGTCCTTTTTGGCTTGAAATATCATCATTAAGGGCCTTGTGCTCTTTTAGTTGTACTCGTATAACATCAACTTCACTACTTGGTGGTTCAGCATCTCTCAATTGATTTTCTACCTCACGGAACCAGTCAAGTAAATCATCCATATCACCAATAACTTCTAATGAACGTTGTTTAGACAACTGTATACGTTCAGCTTTCCTTTGTATTTGTTCACAAATGGCATCAAAACGTCTATTATCTCTGGTTACCAACCCTTCAATTGTAGATGCACCTTCACCTGGAGACATTTTACAAAGTTGAGGTCCAATTTGGTTGATGTTTTCCAAGACAGGACGGAACTCTATTTATAAAATAATAAAAATAAACAATGAATTATACATATATAACATTTTACAATCTAAAATAAAAATGACCTACCTTGAATATCAAGTTCTAAATTATGAATATCCTCTTCTTTAGGCTCAGCCATTTGTAGTTGAGACTCAGCAGATAACATCCAATCACCAAGGCGTTTGTGTGCATTGTGGAATTGTTGTACAAGTGGTAACATGCTTTCAGCATTTTTCAATAAATCTGTTCCAGTTGTCACCAAATCATTGTAACGTCTTTGTAATACGTCTAATTTGTTCTTAAGCTGAATGGCTTCATCACTTGTTATGTGTTTCATTAGTTCCATACCAGAATCAACAGTACCATCAACATCAGATTGCTTGTTAGATATTTCTTCACAAAGATCAGCAATATCTTCCATTTGTTGAGCTAGTTGGTCAGTATGCACTGGCAATACTTTATATCTATTCAAGCGATTTTCCATGCCTTCCATCCAAGCCTGAAGATCTTGATAAGTCAAAACTAGATGACGAAGACCTGAACGTGAGTGTTGTAACAATTGTCCTAATTTTTCAGATGTGTTAACTAAAGTTGCATAACGGTCTGCTGTTTCCTGGATACGATCAGCAACACCACTAGCCTCATCTTCACCAACTAAAGCCATTAATGTGCTAGCTACTTCAGTAAGATCAGTAAACTCAGGATTTTTACCCAAAATTTCATTGTGTAATTTCTAACAGATAATAAGAAAACATTAAAATATAATAAGATAAATCATATTCAACAAGTACTTACATTATGCTCTTTTATTCTTTGTTGAATTTTTTCTTCATCTGTTGGTACTAGTTCCATATCCTTAATTTTCTTTTCACTTTTGTCTAACCATTCTAATAGTGGAGTCAACTTTTCAATAAACTCTTTAGCTACAACCATAGCTCTCTGCAAATCATCCATACGTTTGGTTGCACCACGATCTAAAGTATTGAAACGTTGAGATAAATCCTTTAATTGCTGCTCTATTTCTCTGCGCTCTCTTGGGTCAGCGTTAGCTGCTACTTCATTGCCCATATCAAATATAGATGACATTGAATTTTGACGATCAGCTAACATTTTCTTCAAAAACTAAAAATAATAATAATAATTAATATACAGTGATTAATCAATTTTATTGAATACAGTTTACATACTTTTTGTTCTTGCAATTGAGCTTTAACAACCTTGTAATCAGCAGATGGTGGTTTTTGATTAGATACCAGTTCTTCGGTGTCGGCTAACCATTTAGCAAATCCATCAAGAGCTTCTTGGAATTTACCAGATTGTAAAAGACCGTAATCCAAACGCCTGTCTCTTTCATTTAATTTTTCTTTAAGAGTATTCCATTTGTCATTCATTTTTTCCAGATCTTTTTCAAGTACACTGGTATTTACACCTCTAGCAGCAGATTGTACCAGTCTTTGACCTAAGCCATTGACTTCATCAACAGATGCCACAATCGGTTCAATAGTATTTTTTCTGAATCCAGCAAACTCTTTCTGTTGAAATTTAATGGCTTCCACATCAGAGCCAATTGGTTTAAGGTTTCTAAATTCATCAGTAGCATGATCAATATCATGCAAAACATTATCATACTTGTTTTTGAAACCGTGTAATTTTTCCAACACATTTTCAAGATCAGTTTGTCTATTAGATGCACGTTCATCAAGTTTATTTAATTGACGAGAAAGAATATCAGCTTGATCACGCATTGATGAAGAATTATCTAAACGTTGACCAAGTTCAAGCATTTGAGAAATATCATCACCTGCCCTAGTAAGTTTCTTAATGAATTTGTCAACTTCATCTAATTGACCAGTAACTGTTTTAATGTCTCTTCCAGGTGGTTTCAATGCATCAAATTCAGCTTCTAAGTCATTTAAGTTCTTTCCAAGTGTTTTAACTTTATCAGCATACTTTGCTAAAGCACTTGAAGCAGACTCGAGCTGATCACAACGATCATCTAATTTACCTTCCAAATCGTCTAATCTATCCATAAGATTATCTACATCATCTTGAAGTTTTGTTGCATCACCTATACCCATATCGGCTGCTTCTGATGCTAAGTCACCAGCAGTTTGCCTTAAACCTGTTAATGGATTTCTCAACTTTCTAGCTTCTTCGCGTAACGCCTTTATTCTTTCTAAAAGTTTTGGATCATTGGCAGCACCTCCAATAGAATCATGTGATGCTAATTTATCTTCACATCGTTGTAATGCATGTTCAGAGTCTCTTAAGTTGTCCGAAAAATCAGCCAATTTCCTAGAAACATCTTCAAGCCATTGTGTTTTTTCAGTTAACTCACTATTTAATTTATCCCAACGATTCTTGAGAGAAGCTAACTCTTGTTTGACTAGCTCCTTATCAACATCACATGAGGCAAGGAATGTTTCTCCAAGTGTCTTAACATTTTCATATTCACCAGAGTGTTTCCAAACTTCATTTCTAAATGCAGCTAATTCTCTAAGCTGTTTATCAACATCTCTTTTATTAAAACTACTTGGTTTAATTTGTTCCAATTTATTTTCTGCTTGTGTAAGCCATGGTGTAAATGATTCTAGTGCTCTGTAGTATTTTCTGCAATGTTCCATACATGTTTGTAATCTGTTATGACGCTCAACAGCATCTTTGCGTAATTTATCCCAATTTTGTTGAATTTTGTCTAAGTCACGTTGTAAGTTCCGAATTTCACCTTTTTGTCCTGCACGAGATAGCATATCTCGACCTTTGTTTAATAGCATAATAATTTCATGTTCTTTGTGCAATACTTCTTTATAAATAGGTTCATATTGAGCTACCTGCTGCTGTAAAATGTCTCTATCAGCAGATATCAACAACCGCTCAGTTAAACCTCCCAAATTATCTGAAAGCCATCCTAGTGTTAGAGCACAATCAGCTTCAAACTGTCTACCATCCTTAAGAGATCCTTCGATTTCAGCTTTTTTGTTATCTAGTTTCTTCTGTAAATTATTATACTGTCGATTCACAGCAGCCAATTTTGATTGAATATCAGCTTTACAAGCCGGATCATCTAGGACATCACACAAATGATTTCCAGCATCTTCAAGGTCAGCTAACAGAGGTCTTTGACCTTCCAATTGTCGTTCTAAATTCTGTATTTTCCTCAACTTTTCTTCAGGATCTTTATCATATGTTAAATCATCAAGTTGGTCAGAAATATTCTGTAGAGCACCTGTTAATCGAGCAAGACCAGCATCAAATTCTCTAGTAGAATCTGCAGCAGCACCAAGGTTAGATGCTCTTTCATCTAATTTGCTTAATAAATCAGCCCACTTTTGTCGGATGGCATCCAATTTGTTTGCCAATCGTTGAGCATCCTGTGAATGAGGATCTGGTAATCGACTAAGTATACTTTCTCCAACAGTTGTTAAATGGGTAAGTTGAGGTTGCTGCGTTCGGAACTCTTCTCTCAAAACCTGTAATTGCTGAACTTGGCTTTGCACTATTCTAGAGTCTGATGATATTGGCCCTAGAACATTCATCATTCGTTCTTTAGCCCCTAACCAATTAGATAGATTATCATGGGAATCGTGGAAATCTTTTAAATCTTCTAATAGTTGTATGCGGTTCTTACAAGTATCATTTAGACTCTTCCAACGGGTGGTAATGCTTTGTAACTCATCATGTAGTTTATCAGCTCCTAAAGATGTTGGTTTTTTTCTTAGTAAATCATTAACACCAGACTTAGTACTATCCAACAAAGATTGCTTCTCATATATTTCTTCGAGTATAGATTTGACTTGTCTTACTGCTTTGTCTGATTCTTCTTTACTCATCGGAATACTTTCTTTTGGTATCAATTTTTGAGTTCTGTCTAAGAACTGATTTAATATTTTCATATTATCAGTCATTCTCTTCACTTCATCTCTTATAGTATCAAGTTCGTTTTGTCTGTCTGATATCCTTACACCCAACAAATTGTATCTATTATTGATTTCATTCAATTCTTGTTGTACTGGACTATCATCTAATCCATCTTCAATCCTGCTATACGAAGAAAAACTAGTTCTATTAGAATCCCTAGAAGTTCTTCGCAGAGAATCAATTGAAAAACGTTTAGTAGGTGATACTGAACTACGTCTACGCAAAGAGTTTGAATAAGATGTTGTGTCATAGAAAGTAGCACCTAAATCATTGAGTTTATCTATTGTAATACTGTAATCTCTATGATCTTTAGCAATGGGTTTAAGTTCTTCTAATTGATTTTTTAAAATATTCATATCTACAGCTACACTTTCTAGTTGATTTACTCGTTTTTCTGTGTTATTCAGCCAAACTAATACTTGATCTCTTAGTTTTTCATAAGCCTGAAGTTGTTCTGCTTTAGCTTTTGAGACTCTCTGTTTCTCTTCTAAGAGTTGATTCAAATTCTTCCATTGAGTTTCTAAATTTTTCACACGATCACGCACTGGTGGTGTATCAGTAACATCTTTGTTATTGATGAGAGTTTTGCCATCTCTAACAGTTTGATCCAAGGTTTGCCTCTGGGAGTCTCTCTGAGCAATCAAATCATCTAATTTGTTTTCAGGCAAATCATGGAAGTTCTCTAAAGCATTGGATAACCATTGTTCAAGCATTGCTGCTTGACTATTGAATGATGATAAAGTTTGATTGATGTCATTTAATAACTCTCCTCGCTTAGCAGTTCTATCCAAAAGCTTTTCAAATCTGTTCGTAACATCTTTGAGCTTATTTTCAATCTTTTTAGCCAACCTAGGATTACTAGAATTAATCATCAACTCCTGAGTAGAATGTGCAACACTGTCAACACTTGCTCTATGGGTATCAATATCTGATTGTAGAAGTCTATATTCACGAATTTGTTCAGCCAAACGTTCAGGATGCAAACTAACTGGTCTTGTTATGTTCCTGAAAAATTTTTAAATGTAATCAGATGTGAACATTTTTCTAACATATGCATAATTAATAGATGTGCACAGACTTCCTATTTAGGGAATAATTAAAAAATTGTCTAAATCTGTATTTTTTTTCGCAAACTACTTAATATACAAAATATTTTTCTAAATAATTATATATATATATATATACAGAGTGATTGACTAACTATGTCTCACGAATTCTCTTTAAAAATATTAGTGTTATCATATATGTAATTATTTTATTTGTAATACATCTTTGTTGAGCTACTTGACAAGAAAAATAAAGATTCCATCTTAATCCCTTAACCCTCAAATCAATATCAACTTTAGTTTTTTAAATAGTAACAATTTTTTTTTTATTAATCTTGTTTAGCATATAAAAGAAAAATTCTCAAAAAAATATCAATTTTAATAATTTTTAAACAAGATATCTCTATTTAAAGTTTAGGGGATTTAACAAATAAAACAGTAGTCGGGTAAATACATAACATTATTACTTGTTAAAACCATCGGTGTATTGTAAAATGTGCACGTTTTTTATAATTAAAGTGAGTAATACTCACATTCTGTAAACTTTAATCAATCATAACTCGCTGATAATTAAATAAAATAGAAAATTTGTTTGAAAACTAAATCTAATCTGATTATATATAAAAAAAAATAGGGTTATTATTTGAAAATTGAAAGTTGATACTGATTTAAAGCATAAGGGATAATCATAAAAACGTAATTTTACTCACTGAACAGCCCAACATAGAAACATAATATTTCATAAAGAAAAAAAAAATGATAACTCAAGATAATTTGTGGGGCATAGTTAATCAATCACCCTATATATATATAGTTTTAGTTATTATTGAAGTGGACATAATGCCCATGCATTCAGATCTGCTAGTCCATTGTGCGCCAATATATATATATATATATATATATATATTATTAAGTATATATATACTATAAATATATTATAAGTCATTTAATTTTTTGATTAAATAAATATTCAACAGGTATACAAAGATATTAATTAGTTTCAGAAAAATAAAAGTTTTTAGAGAAAGTACTAATTTGCAAATAAAGGAAATGTATTATATTAGTTAAATTGATTAGGTAATTTTACTATAACATTAAACAAATAGTTATTTGAGAGCAAAAAAATCTTATTTATACAAATTAAAAATAATAACTAAATTATAATAAGCTTTAAAAAATTTATTATTTTCTTACTTTAAAGAATTCTCAGCATCATTTAACCACTGTAACAATGAATCTAAGGCATCTTGTACACCATGAGATTGAACTAATGCTGTATCTAATTGAGACAAACGGTCAGCTAAACCATTACATAATGACCTGTATTTATCCTCTAGGTCTTTAACAGGTCCTTGAATTGCTTCAATTTCTTTCATTCCACTTTGACCTTCTAAAGATCTAACTAATGCATCAGCAGCTTGTTTAACATTCTCAATAAGCCTTGCTTGACCCAAAAATTCATTGTTTAAAGTTCTTGTTCGATTAAGTTGATCTTCAAGAGCACTTGAATCAGCCCCAATTGGTTCATTCAATATTTTAACTGCTCGAGGTTCAACATCTCTCAACCAAGCTTTAGCTGTAGCCAAAGCGTCTCTATATTCTCTTTGTTTAGAGCTAAGACCACTTAATTTATCTGACAAAGCATTTGCTCGTGACAAAAGATCTTTATAGTTATTAGTTACTCTGGTAACTGTGTTTTTCACTACACTATCATGTGATGAAATAGGTTCAATATGTGGTAACCTAGATGGTAAACCAGTTCTAAATTCGTTTAAGCAAGTCAAATATTCTTTTGATTCATCATTAAATTTTTGAGCTGCCATTGTAATGAAACGAAGATCAGCTTGGTGAGCAATAACATCAGATACAAAGTCTTTGGTAGATTCAGTAGAAGATGTATCAGATAATCGATTAATATTAGCCAATGCGCGTTCTTTTTCCTCCAGTGTGCGATAAGCTCGATCCATCCATGTAGTAAATGTAGTAAGCTCAGACTTAAATTTAGAAAGTTCATCTTTGGCTGAGACTAGACGTCGCAAAAGTTTATCAGTGCGATCATTTGCATGATCATAACGTGATTTTAATAATTTTCCATTCTTTTCTACTTTGTTCACTTCTTCTCTAGACAAAAATTCACTTCCAGTAGCAATTATGTGACGTACTTGATCTAGGCATGTAGTAATAGGACGAAGTTGAGAATCAATTTCTTCTTTGATCAACTACAAAAAAAAAAAAATGATTAGTTTCTATTTAATACAAATTTTACAAACTAAGAAATTTAATAATCAATAGCTAAAAATAGTAAAAAATTATAACATACTCAACTTTATAATAATACACTTTAAAATTTAACTTATAAAAATTATATTTTTTTATTTTATTAAGAAATAAGTTACATACTTTTAGAACATTTATTTGGTTACGAAGTTGATCTAAGTCTTCTTGAGCAATATCTTGGTTTGCAATCCTATCTTCAATTTCTCCAATCCAATTCAAGTATTCAGTAAGAGTGTCATCACACAATTTATATTTTTCAGCCATTGCTTGCTATAAAAAAAAACAAAATCTTTAGCATAATAAATTATACATACTTTTAAATAATTAAAATAATCCGCAAAATGTAAAGATTATTTTAATAGAATTAGTGCAACTAATATAAAAAATAAATATTATCTATGTAATAAAAAATTATAAAATAAAAGCATATTAAATTCTATGACAATTAGATTCTAATTTTTTTTTATAATGATGATAATGTTAAATTAACAAGCGTTTGATAAAAAAAAAACAAAAATTGACAATACAGTTAATTAAAAGCTTATTACTGTTGTTATATATAGGCAAAAATTAATTAAACAAAATACATTGGATTTAGTTAAACATTTTTCAACTTTCTGGAGTTCCTGAAATAAAAAAAACAAAATAAAACAAAAGCAATAAAAAAAAAAAAAAATCAAATACAATCGATCACAAAACACATAGTTGATCTCATGGTCATGAAAAAAACTAAATAGTTATTAATAATGTATTACATTCTCACAGACAAAACACATTTCATGCGTTATAATACAATAAACTGTTGATGCTATCAATTACCGGGGTTATTCCAGCCATCCCATAATCAAATTGTGATATAGAAACAACTGGTTTTATTAAACTGCTATAATTATATTGGTCTATATCATCTATTTCTTCTTCAGTAATTGAATCTTGTACAACAAAAGAATGTTTAACACTACTTGTGTATTCCTTTTTATGTTTATTATTTTGAGGTTCAACTAGTTCCACAAATACTGGTATAGCCAATGGATCACATACAAAATATGCTTCAATTGCTTCCTTCATTGTTGTTCCTCGATAATGACCTGTCATATCTAAAATATTTTTTCTTAAAGCCTGTTTTAAATTTAATGTCCTTGCCTTCTTTGGATCAACTACTACAGCTGACTCTGAATTTATTATTCCTAAATCAATACATTCCTTGAATGACACTAGACGGTCAGTTCCCGGTACAATGAAAACACCTGATATAGGATCTAATAAATTTTGTTCAATTGCTTCAAATAAACCCCATCCCTCAAAAGGTACATCAATTCTAGCATCATCATTCAATTTTAAAGCATCTAATGTTTTAGTTAACAATGCTTTAATTGAACTTTTTGGCTTAAGGCCATTTAATTTTGACAGCAGTAGTAATTCTTCTTCGTCAAGTTGCAATTCATCTAAATGACCACGATAAATTGCATCGAGCACAGTAATTTCTTTATTATTTACAGTTACTTTTTTATTTAACATTTGGAAAATCTCACCCCTAACCTCACTAGATTCAAGTGATTCCTCATTTTTTACCTTTATTCTTTCCATAGGACCACGTTCAGCATCTAAAAGTTCCTTTTGTATGGCTTCCAATAATGTCATGTATGGACCTCCATTTTCAGCACTCATTATACAGGGTCCTAGTAATTTTTCAGCTAAAGCTCTGTGCATCAAACCCTTTTCAACAGCCTGTTCAATATCTAACCATCCAGATTTCAAATCAGGCTGAGTGGCAATACGACCAGTACGCACATCTAAGACTCTTTGTCGGATTGCTTCACCAACAGTTAAAACTACACCAGATTTAGGGTGAACAATACCAGGCGTGTTAATTATATCATCATCAGCAAAACCACCTTCATTCATTCGTTGCCAAATTGACCTAGTGTCTGATGAAGCTGAGGAATCAGCAGCAGGTAAAGATGTATTATGATTACCCATAGTGGCCTGAAGACCATTCGTTTTATGTGCTAATATCTGTTCTCCATTCACACCATTTGTTGAAATCCTTAAAAAAAAAAATTATTATATGTTAGTTAGCAAAAAAAAAACAGACAAGATACTTACTCAGCAACTGTATCATAAATGTTGAATTCTGTTCTGAATGTGCGTAAGGGCCTCACCTCAATACTATTGACAAACTCCTATTAAAAACAAAGTTTTTAATAAAGATAAATTAATAAGCTAACAGACTAACCTGAATTTGGTAAATTACTATATTAAAACATTTCAAGGGTATATTAGAGTTTATTTATTGGCCAGTAAAAATATAGTAATTGCAATTAATCTAAGGTGTGTCAAATAAAAAATATATGTGGGAGATACTTTTAACCGTCCTTTAACCAAATCAAACAAACAAACAAACAAAATCATTAGTTCTTCCATACTCATATCCCATTAGAAATAAATAAAATATAAAGTACATTTTGAAATACCATGAAAAAATTACATTTTTTTTCAAAACTACAACTTATGTAATTAAATAAAAAAGAAAGTAAGGAATGGAAAAATACAACTATATAATTAAAAATAAACATAACAAAATTGTTAGGAAAATGATAAAAGTAAATAGTCTTTAAAGGATTAAGGGTAATCAGAATTAGGAAACTAAGTATTTAAATTTTTTTTTTTGACAGCAGTTTATTTATTTTATATGACAAATAATACAAAGTTATTATATTGTGTTTTAACTTCATTTGACAAAAATTAAAAAAAAATTCTGAGATCAGTTTTTCATGCTTTCAATAAGCTGTACAAATTTCATTTAAATATGTTGAGTGATTTTAGCTTCGATGCGAAGCTGAGAAGGTATTGGTTTTACTAAGATGTGTTTATTTTTTTTTTGTGTGTGTCTGTTACCACTTTTTCTCAGCTCTCACCGAACCGATTTCTTTCAATGATACGTCAAAAGATCACAAATTGTATCTAGTCGAAGACATTACCCTCAAAAATTGAAAAAAAATCCCTCGTTCCCCGTAAATGGGGAAACCTCCAAAAAAATTACGAATTTAAAAATCGCTAATTTTCGAAATTTTTTCAATTTTTTTACTTAAAAGTGCCATAACTTTTTGAAAAATGAACATATCAATATAATTCTTTTTTATATAGATGCATAATATCATTACCTTTCATTTGGTATATATTTTTGATAAATTTAACCCTTAACCTGCCCACAGGGGGGATTTAAAATGACAACTTTTTTACAAAAAATTAATTTTTTCAACTTAACTTTTGAAAATGTTCCGGAAGGTCTGACACTTTTATATATATCTTAAATTAAAGCTAATGTAATATACTTTATTATGCAGAAAAAAAATTTCGGACTTTATTTTGTCTTCACGGTGAAAATGGCTACCAAATGCTATTATTGTGTGAAAATTCTCGATTTAATTTTTTACATTTTTAACTTTATAATGCTATGACATATTGAAAAGTGTATGGATCAACATTATATTTTTATGAGAAATAATATTTTTTAATAATCCCTTTTTCATTCGACATACTTTATCTTAAATAGGATATTAATAATGAACTAGCAGATCATGTAGCTTTTGGAATAATCCACCAATTTTTTAAAATTAAACACTATCTAAAGATTTGCATCGAAGCGTTTTTTTTTTATAGTGATTTTAATCACTGTCAGATATCATAATACTTGATCCAACTATGCCACGTTACCACTGTGCCGCGACCTCCCTGTGCTGGGTTTTTTATTTACAGTGATCATCGACCACTAAGAGGAGGTTCAACAAATATAGCTATAATACACTTTTTTTTTTTTTGTCAAATAAAGTTAGAACATAATATAATAACTTTGTATAATTTATTATATAAAATAAATTAAACTCTTTTTTTTTTTTTCTTTAGTTCTTCTGACTACCCCTAACCATTTAGCTATAAAATTTTAAGTTACATATATAATTAAATCTTTCAGTAACAAAGAGACATAGATTTAAAACAGAGTCAATTATGTTTTATTTTTGATGATTAATTGATAAAATAAAAATCACAAACAAAAATATTTTTTAACATATGACTATTTTTTGCTGGATAAATCAATTACATTTTCAAAGAAAATACTTAATTTAAATGCAAATTTTTTTTGCAGATTGTATAATTTACCAAAGCATTCACAAGGATTTGTCTTTTCATTATTGATTTAAATTTACATTTAAATAATAGAAATTTAACTTTAAACTGGAAGCACTAAAATAATTTTTCATAAATTAGAAATACCACTGATGCTAAATTACTGCATTACAGAATAAAATATAAGAAAAAAAACTATTTTTTTTAGAATTATAGCTCATACATTTTTATTTAACCCAAACAAATACTTTGATAAAACACTAAACAAAGATTATAATTTTTTTTTTTAATGAAAATTTTACTGATTTTATAACAAAAATTACATGTTAAATTACATGTTTAAAAGTACTTTCACAATATCTGTAATAACATCTTTTTTAATCTTGGTTTCTAAAAAAGTGTCTATTTAATCGTATTGAAATCTTAACTTAAATAACTGTGTAGGTGGATTCTATTTTTCACATTATGTTATATTAGTTTAACTAAAAATTATACCTGTAGTTCATGGTCGTCAAGATTCAATGATGCCAAATTTTTGAGCTGGTCAACTAACATGTTAAGTAATGCTTGAAACCTATGATTGAGTACGTCCAATTCATGTGAAATAGCTATTTCCCCCGCACTGGGATCCATATTTTGACCTTTTTGGTAACTACTGGCGTCCAAACTTGGATGAACTTCTTCAACGAGCCACGCACAATAATGTTGAAGTCGCAAGTCAAAAATCTATTTATGGTTAATTAGATGCAATGTTTTGTGTTAAGCTCAGTTAAATGGTTATAATAGGCATATATTTACTATAATTTCTATATTTTTTATGTTAAAAAAAGCAAAATTACCTTAGCTTCTCGTATAAATCTGCCACCATCCACATTGACACTTTCAATTGCTTTAATATGTTCCTGCACCTTGTTATACAAAGCCTAAGAGATGTATTTATAAATAAATCATATTATGTCTTGCCACATAGTTGCACGTGTATTTCAAATTTCAGGATATTAATATAGTACTAGTTATATTTATTACTTAAAGTATGATAAATTATGTATTAATGATATTAATATTTTTTTACCATGATTCCCATGCATTGCTATGATTAAGATTACATGAAAAAAATATGCAATACTTACTCAGAGATCAAAATTTTAATCATAATATACCGACAGAAAAAATTAATTATAACTCTGAAACTTACCCGAGTCGATGCTGTAAGATCTTTTGCTTGCATTTTTTGGAAATTATCATCAACAACTTGAACTTCATTTTGATACGCGTTTTTATATTTACTCAGGAGGTCATAAGCAGCCTCACAACTCTTCAACCTTGTTATAAAAACATATTATTTTACTTAATATACTATTAAAATTATTATAATATATTATATAATAAGATATAAAAATATATTAATTATCAATAACTATATTTTAAATAATTAAGTTTAATACCTGTCAACTAATTGACTACAAACATTATTCCATCTATTTACAATACGATTAACATCACTGTCAAGTCTATCAAGATCATGATGAACAGGGCGTGGCAAATGATGTCTGGATTTTTCAGTCAAGCGTCTAGTATTATTTTTGTCTTCAACTAATTGATCGATTGCTGGTTGATGGCGTAGAACACTTTTTTGTAATGCTATCAAATCTTCATGAACCTGAAGTAATTTATTAATATTAAGTTACACAAATTTAACAGAAAAAAGCCTGTATAATCTTAAGATATCAGTTATTCATTACAACATAATGAGAAGTTCATTTAAACAGACAAAAAAAAGTTTGTTAAAATAATTTTAAACTAAAATTTAATTGTAAAATTAGCTGTTATGCAGTGTCGGCTTTAAATATGAATGACATGTACTATAAAACAGGGTAACAAAATCAAAAAAAGTTCACCAGTAAACGTGCAATATATGTAGAAGGATAGACCCCCAGCCACCCTAATTGTGCTTATGCACATCAACAGGAAATGTGATATGCCAATGATATATAATTTCATAAATTACAATCTTTTTTTTATGGAACACCAAAATTATGCTTGAAAAGGATAGAAAGGTATGAACATATGACACAAGATATAATTAGATATAAGATATAGTTTTATAGTTAAAATTGAATAACTCACCAATTTTAATGCCGGCAATTCAGACGGCATCTCGCCAAAAGATGCTAATTTGATCTCAAAATCAGAAATAGTATTATTAGCTTCTTCAATTCCAGTTAAAGTAATTTCAGCACATTTCAATCTCTCAACATACAGCTGAGACAAATTCCATAATTGATTCCATTGATTCAGGATCTTATCATGTTTAGCCTGCAATGCATGTGTCTTATTTGGCATTTTCTTAAAAGTAGCTTGCATTGCTTCAACTTCAGGACCCATAGCCTGAAAATATATTTGACCAACATTTTAGTAAAATATAATAAATAAAAATAAAAATTTATATACCTTCAAAGAAGTTTCAAAATCTTTATGTTGAATTACAAGATGTTCTAAAGTGTCTATATCTCTTGGTATAGGTGCACTCAATCTAGTGTTCAAAGTATGTTCATACTCATCTAACGATAGTTGAATAGTTTTTGCTTGTTCATTAAAAATGCGAGTAAGATTTTTAGCATCTTCTTCAGCTTTAGAGAGACGTTCAAATTCATCAAATAATTTATTAACTTCATCCATTTCTCTCTTGAGTCTTCTAAGTTGGGGATCAGCTGGATCACCTTCTCGTAAAAGTTTGTTGGCATCTTCATTAAGTGCTTTACGAATAGCATTACGCTGATCAGCTCCCATGGCCAAAAACTATACAATAATTTATTATTCAGTAAAATATAAACTTTTGGCAATATTTTTAAATGGTATAATTACTTGAGCAAGATCCCATGACTTAACTACTTTAATAGTAGCAAATATCATGTTTTGTCGCATACGTAATTGCTTGCGTTGCCAAAGAGCAATTGTTCGGTCATAAGCTCTACGTAGACGTTCAATTGCATCTAAAGCTTCTTGATCCGGTGGAGGTATCAAAAATACTACTCCTGGAACATTACAATCATCAGTAAGATTCATTCCTCTAGATACCCTCCATTTGACACGGCCTGAATTATCATGAAGTAACCACTGAGATCCTTTTTCAACATTTATCTAAAAACAATTTTAAATTATTAAATTTACACTTAACTTATAATGTAATAATTAATTTATATATACCCCATTTTGTTTATAACTACAAATAGCATTGACTGTAATTGGTCTGGTAACTGGAAGTCTACGTTGTTTAAGTGGCACAACCTGTCTTGATCTTTCATCCAATGTAGCAATAGCTTCACTGAAATTGTTAAGTTCATCACGAAGTTCTTGCATACCTTTCAACAAACGTTCCCCTTCATCTAAGCTAAATTCTGACTGACTATAAACAGTATTTAGCAATTCATCTCTTTTATTTAACCAATTTTCAGCATCCTTTACATCAGTATAAAACTGATGATAATATGTGGCATGTTTTAAGTGTGTTTCCAAGCACAAAGTCAATTGGAGCAACCACGTCCATTGAGTTTGCAATGCAGTGATATACGACTCAATAGTTTTAGATGCTGAATGACCTTGCAAGATTAACGCTTCTCCTCGATCTTGAACAGAACTCAATTGTATCTCTCTTTTCTCTAATTCAGACATTAAATTCTAAAAAAATGCAAAAATTAATTTTTAATTAATTTAATTATTCGTAAAAATACAAGATGATTAATTGACTAAGTCTCACACAATACCTTTAAAAGTATAAAACATATTATAATTTGTTCTTGCAATTAATAGAATCATATGTTCTAGAAATTTAAAGCCTTTTTAAACCACATTACTCTTCCCATCCTAGTATTCGTTTTCTTTTTTCTCGCCTTTATCCCAACTACTTAAAGTCGGCCACCCTTATACTAAATTTCAACTTGACACAATCTCCCACATTATCTATGCACACATCAACAGTTCTCATATTGCATTCAATAACATCCCTCCATCTATTTTTTGGTCTTCTTCCATCAAGATTCATTTCCATAGCTGTTTTTAAAGTTTCTGATTCCTGTCTGCTCATAAAATAACCAAATCATATAAGTATATTTTCTCTCATCTTATCCACGATTCTCTTTTACACCTATACTCCACTTATATATTTGTTCCTTATCCTATCTTCTCTAGTCACTCTACTCATCCATCTAAGCGTTATTACTATTGCACTCATTCTCAGTTCTATTCTCTTGTCCACCAACACTCTGAACCATACTTACCTTTCAGTCTCATTGGAATTCTCTTATCGCATAACATACCTAACGTTTTTCTCCACTTCACCTACCCTCACTTAATCCTGTGTCTTACATTCTCGTCAATACCACCATTCTTTTGCACAACTGATCCTAAATACTTAAAACATCTTCCCATCTTAGTATAAAATATATTTAAAATACTCACATAAATATAAATGAACAGGCTAGGAACAAGTAATAATTTGTGAAACTAACATAATTTTATATAAAAAAAGGATTTATCAAAGACATTTTAAATGTTATCATACTACATAAACATATTATGTACATACAATTAAACTAATGCAAAATAAACAAGTTTTCCATAAAAAAATATCTAATGAAGCAACACATGATAGATTCAATATAACACATGTAAAAGGTCTATCATTTCTAGTCTATACATTTATGTCTATGAGAATACTATTCCAAAAGTTGTTACTGGCCAGTCATTTTCTATTTTATGATTTAGTTAAACATATGTTTGTTTCCTTTTAAAAAACTTAAGTTTATATTATGTTAAAAAGTAGAAAAGAGGGATAGGACCAAATTTGTTTTAATTTATAGAACATAGGATGATTCTATTAACTTCTGAGAAGAAAAAATTATAATATATTTTATACTTTTAAAAATATTAAATAAGGTATAGTCAATCAATCATGTTGTATAATTATATTACATTAAAATAATAAAACTAGGGTTATTAATATAAACACCAAATTTAATGTTTTAATTGAAGTTAGCTTTATTTAATTATTTTTAATTCAAGTAATTACTTCATAATATTGTCGAATAGATGGAATGTTAAGATCTTTGTCGCTCCAATCACGATTAAGTTCGATTTCTTCCTTTTCATTTAACCATTTCAGTTGGTTGGTAGCTGACTGTAAGAAATCTTGCAATGTCTCCAAATCAGACAACCGTTTATTAGAAAAGGTAACTAAATCAGAATACACTCTTTGCAATGTGTTCAAGTGCTGGGAATAAAGAGCTAATTCGTCTCCATGAAAGTTGCTCTTGGCATTTATACACTGTTCGACTTTGGAATGGAATTGATCAATTAATTTGTGTTCTCGTTTATGTTGATCCAAAAGTGCTTTAACACTTGGTAGATCTGAACCATACTCGGCTTCTTGTAGTTGTTTCTAATACATAAAAATAACATTTTTATAAATTGAATAGTTTAAATATTTTACGGAAAGTATCACATAAAATAGGTTTGAAAACTAACCAATTTATTATTACACCAATCAATGCACTCTTGTAACGAGCGGAAATGAGTGTTAGTATCGACTAGTCGGGTTTCTAAAATAGTTCTAGTTTGTTTGGTAACTGTACGTTCTTCAACGATTGGGAACGAAAGGGAAGCTAATGGCGTAAGCACTTTAGAATGCAACAATGAACGTAAATTTACCCATTTCTGATGTAATTTTTCCACCCTAAAAAAATATTTAAAAATTGAAACTTTTAACGAAAAAGTTATTTAATAAAATTTAAGTAATACCTTTTTTGAAGTTCTGGTGCTTGAGCATATCGACCTTCTCTAAGTGCCTGCACGTCAACAAAAAGTGACTGAATAGTGTCTTCAGACAGCCGAAGCTCGGTTTCTAATTGATCAGCATTGTGTTTTGCGTCTAACGGATGAAGTCTATCAGCACGGCGGCCTTCTTCCACGATACGCGTTTCTAACTCGTCTAACTTAAGATCAGTACGCTTGGCTTCACGATGTACCTTTTCGGCCAATCGTTGTAAACGTTCCAACCGCTTAATCTCTTCTTGAATGGCCGAATCTCGATCTTGGTAAGTCATCATCAGACGGTTCCACGTACGGTCAATGGAATCAGCTTGTAACTCGGGTTCGATGTCCACTTCACCAACCGCATCAAAATATTTCTATACGTTTAAAAAACGATTCAGTAAAATCAAATAATTTAAACAAAAACATTTCCAAAATGTAAAAAAAATACCTGGAGATCTTTGTACAAATGAACAAGATGTTGTTTGTCGCGATGTCGAGGTGGTAGTTCTTCATTACGGAACCTAGTTGACTCAGAGGCCAACTTTTTCATATCTATTAACGTATTTGGGAAGTTACGATCTGACATATGGGATAACTTTTCACGCATCCAACGATTGAGCGACGTCGCGATTTCCCTGTACTCCGAGATACGCTGTTGAGAATCCTACATAAAAAATTATAAAAGGTCAATTAAGAGAAAAGATTGTCTTTTTGAATTACATTATTGACAGCTTACCGAATCATAAAGAGGGTGTAAGCGTGGGGGATCGGGGAAAACTTCATGTAACGAAGATATATAAGTGATAATAGACTTCTCGTCGATCTCGTGGGTGTCCACATCTGTACAAAACAACTTTTGTTACTACTGATTAACATTTTAGATTTTTAATTCATAATAATTATAGAAAATTTTTAACAAAATTTTCCTTGCGGGCTCTTACAATTAGATAACTTTAAATCAATGTAAATGTTAATTAATGGGTAATGAAAATGTATTTTTAATTGGTACAGTAATCTATACATAAACAACCCGAAGCACAATTTTTTACTGTTGATGTTCGTGGGAAGATTTTTGACATTTAAACAGATATGAATAGATACTCGCCTTCGGGATCCAACAGCCTGGTAACACCGTATTCGCGTTCAGCAGTATAAAAAGCCGACTCCAAACGTTCGCGAACCGTCTTGTTTTTCACAGTGCGCCAATCTACCAAATCGGGTCTACAAAAAAACACAATTGAATAAACACATATTGTATCAAAAAGCAACGGCAACAATATTAAAAACTCATGTGCGCTATTAATTATGCCAAGTACGTTTGTCAAACATCATTATTGTAAATAATTATGTCGACATAATAATAATAATAATATATTTTAAGGCAATGGTCTAACACGCTAACGACAATAATTGTATAATAGAGTTGTCACCTGTTCCTATGAATGATTGCGTTGAAAGCCATGCCGTCGCGCCANTGTACGTTTGTCAAACATCATTATTGTAAATAATTATGTCGACATAATAATAATAATAATATATTTTAAGGCAATGGTCTAAAACACGCTAACGACAATAATTGTATAATAGAGTTGTCACCTGTTCCTATGAATGATTGCGTTGAAAGCCATGCCGTCGCGCCAAGAAGACGTGAAGTCTGACACGCGCACTCCCGGATACTTGGAGGTTGACTTTCGAGCCCATTTCAATAAGGCATCCCTTGCCGACACGTTGGGTTCTTCACCCACCACAATATCCGATATCTGTGGAAATAAAAATGATTAATAAAAATATCAAAAATTAATGTTGTCACCAACACAATCCACTCGTATATTTTAGATATATCGAAAGTAGTGTTGTATGATCAGAATGAGCGGCATATCTAAGAGAAAAAGCGATGGGATGTTATTGATCACCGTCAATAATTGTAGGTTGGGTTATGATGATTATTATCAATCCTAAGATAATTTTAAATTGTCGCTTGAATCCGGTCGGCATTTGATTGGGAATAAAATAGTACAGTTGGATAGAAATGCTCCAAAAAATCGTTAAAAGTAAAAAAAACGATTTTTTTCGTTAACATTTGATTATATCGTATCATTGGCAATATCAATGCATAAACATTATAATATAAATGAATAAAGATCATGAAAAATGTATGAAACAATTTGATTTATATTGACATACAAATCGTGGGATGCTCTTGAATATTGTGTACATTCATTTCGATGCGTAAAAACTCAAAAAATTATCATAAGTGCCTTTCACGCTAAGTTATTTGTAAAACACGAGTATTAAAAAAAAAAAGGGACGGGGAATTGTCCAACAATCTGAGTATTTAAATACCTTTCACAAGGAATAACATAAGATTCGATTGCGACAAAAAATACAATAAATATTCATACTTTTTATAAGGATTCAATGGAATTCAATGATAGTTTGCATCTAAGTCGATTTTTAATTTAAAATAGTAGTAATTGTGTAACGAATAGTAAAAGTGACATGTACTTTTTTGGATCGACCCGCGTATACATTTTACATAAGGTCGGAGGCGTTATTTACTGGGCATAATTGATTAAAACAATTTTTGTGAATAGGGTCAACAATAAAGTGTAGTACAGCAACTACATTATGCGCACACGCCTGCCACATCATCACCCAAGTACAATTTGGGCATACAGTTGGGACCAGCACCAGTTGTTTTCGCGCGATTCCCAACCGTCTAGTCTTCGCCTTAAATGGACAACTGAGGTTCGCCACTACGGAGGTCGTTTACAACAACGACGACACACACACTCACACATACGTACTCGCCCATGCCGATTGTATTAAAAAATATGCGCGAGTACATTAATGAACTGGCGAAACAAAAAAAATTCAGAATCGATAGATAACAACAATAACACACGACCATAGACGATTATTTTTTTCAAGTTAGACGTCTTACATAGACGAGACATGACGTATGGGCTTGTACGCGTTAAAAAACATTGTTACGTACCGTAAACCAGGTCACACACGAGTATATACACACTGCGGACACCATCTCACATCATTATGCACGGCCAAGAGGAAATAATATCGTGTTGCAAGAAACCATCGATGCATACTACCCGGATCACTGAAAATACATACGATCCACAACGAACTCGTGAAGTGATGTAACCGGAGTGTATAAAAAACAAACTGTCCGCAGGAGACTATGAGAAATACCTCGATAATAACTGTGTACACACGATAACAGAGGAAGTCCTAAATACACGGCGTTAAGTGCAATTTCATTGCCAATCTTAATTTTCAGCGATGATTCAAAGGGCTCTCTCCGAAAGTCGATCAAGTCCTCTAGATCACAACTTCGTTCTCTGTTAGTACGTCACACTACAGTTCGTTCACCTTCCTCTCTCCGTTTCCGGTGCATATGTCTCGATACAAACACTTATACTACAGACAATACTTTTATAAGTCGATCACTATTGTTGTGCGGATCGCCACGACTCGAGTCGAGTAAAGGGTTTACAATAGATCGGACGGGAAAGTATCAACCATATTACTCGTTTGGACTAAATCAAATGATCTTGACGTCGGTTACGCTTGTAGTAAATGCGATTACATCAAACAAAAATGATTAACAGTTTCCATTGTTTTTTTTTTGCATACAACTAACGGACGGAATTAGAGAGAGTAAAACACACACATAATATACAACAAATGATTGCGAATAGGACGTATGCAATATGAGGTCTACTTAAGTATTCAAAATCACGAGTGAATAACGTTATCTGAAGAAACAAAAGCCACCAGGTACTAGAAGATTAAGTCGAATACATTCACGTAAGCTGATAAAATGTCTAATTCAAAAATACATTTATATTAACACTTGGCAATAGTATTTTTTGGCAATACAATTTAAATGCCTAACTAAAACACCAAATTAATTGATTTTCATAAATTACCGAGATAACATAAAGAATATTAAATAGTTACCATGTGTTACGATCAACCAAGATTTTCAAAAGCGCACAATATCGTGTAAGTGACTGCTGCAAGAACACTTTTTGAGAAACGTGGACTAACGAAAGGACACAATAGGATTCGCGATTTTGGCTAAAGGCCAAAAGGCGTAAAAGTGGGGACAACATGTAAAATTTGTGTTATTAAAGCACTTTTTGGCATTATATACCAACTAGTGCTTTTTAATAATTTTTCAAATGCAAGCCAAATTATGTCATCCATGAAGAAGTTATTTGTTATGACTGATCATGATCAATAAACACGTGTGTTTTATTTGACCCTTACATTTTAGTATAAAGATAAGTCATTACTGTGAATATTTATTATTTATTCTCACCACAAAGGTAAAGTAGAGACGACACTTTTTTAGTAAATCATTTATCTGTATAATCATTTAATGCATTAACTAAACAAACATCGTAAAATTGACTCAGAACGCGGAAAAGTGCAGAACAAACAACAATAATTTGCTTCAATTTTAAGTGGGTTGTGTTTATGAGGGATTTGAACATCAATAGTTCAAAAAACACGTTTGATAAGCACTTTTATGTGTACGCAACTTTAAAATCTTACTATAAATAAATATTAGAAAGCGTTATTGCACAATAATAAAATTTCAGTAATTAACATAACTGGGATGGTAGATTTTGAACTATTTAATGAGAAAAATGGCGATGAAATAGTCGTTTAATACTTAAAGATGTGTACTTGTATACGAGTATTACTTGATAAAATTCAAATTACGCTTTTGTTGACATTTCGAAAAAAATGATTATTTACAGCTATCGAAAGTGCTAAAGGACTTAAAAAATGAACTCTAGAGTGCTCATCAATGTCTTTAATTTTAACCATTGATATTCTCGTTCTTTAAGAGTACCTTGGCCTTTTTCGTTTTGATCATCTGCTGACGAGACCTCTTGGACTCTTCGTATGAATGGTCGCTCACAGACATCTGGCCAGTTTTCATCATACTCTCGGTGGCCGACATCTCTACACCTTTGGTCAACACGGTAGTCTTGCGCAGCACTCGGGTTGTGACCGAATGCCGGCCGACCTCCGGACGCCTATCTACTCTTTGGGATTCGTGGTTTGAGCCGGACACTTCGGTGGATAAGTGCCGCTTAGTGTGCACTGTTTGCAGGTCGCGAACGCCATCGTCGGCCGACTCCCGAGTACCTTGAATAAACAGCCGACCACTTCCGGGCCTGGGAACGGCGGAAGACGACGACGAAGAAGACACTTCTTTGGTGGCCTTACTAATGCGATACATATTGACGGTATTTTTAATATGGCAAGATGTTAATACGTTATCTATTTAGCTATATAACAGTGTACTGCTGGTTATCGTCCGCGTTAGACGGTCAAACACATGACGTCGCCAAACGGCCGTCGGGTGGAATGCAAGTGGTTAGAGGGATTAGTAGTGAACAAGATAAATATTTCCAAACTTAATAACGGTTTTTTTTTTTTTTAATGTTGTGACAATATTCACAGTATTACACTCGGTCGATACAAAAACTGCGGCGCGCATGCGATACGGACGGTACACAAGAGATAACTGAACCGTGTTAAGCGGCTGCAGCGGCGGCGGCGTTTGGGTCAGGCCCCGCTGCAGAATAAGTGAATGAGTAGGAGGTGTGCACGCAGGTAAATCGCGGGGGCACCGGGGGGACGTGACATTACCCGTCTACCGTGATAAAACGCTCCTCAAGGTTAACAGTGCGGCACACGCACCAGCGAAGGGGGGATATCCATTGAATATCGTTGCGGCCGAAGATAAAGCGTACATTAAAGGTCCTACTTAAAAAATACTATACCAGAGTACGTGCTAAAACTCATTGAATAAAAAAAACAATCGTTGCTCCCTCCTCCCGCCCCCCATACACGGCGAGTGTGTTATGCCACAACGGCGGAGTTGGGCAACCGCACGATAACAGGACACCCGCGGCATGCGGCGGCAGCGCCTACATCGGTAGCCCACGCCTGTCCGAAATCCTCGGACCGGTGCACCACATATCCATATAGGGATCGGGTGACCAGGTGCGTGCCACCGTCAAACATGTTTTCCACCGCAACTTATCCTTGATCGGCGCGGGAGGACCTTGGCCACACCGTCGTCTTTGTGTGTAGGATGCGCCCAGAGCAACAGATGTAAGCGAAGAGACGTTACATAAACACAAACAACGTTGAGCATGGGCGGCCGATCAGGGTTAAGTTCGAACTTAATAGGTCAAGAAAAATAAAAAAAGAGTATTCCACCTTCCGGAAGTATTTGCATTGGACTTGACGATAGGTAAATAGGAGTGAAGTCATTAAAAAAAAAAAAAAACGTTTCACGATGTGAACCTGTATAAGGAAATTCCAATCCTCGCCGAATAGCTATTTGATCTATAAAACGCCGCGTGGACAGTACAGCCAACGCAAAATTTATGTAATCGTTTGAGGAACAATGCAAAACAACGGCATCGTGGACTAGTAAAAGAAATTCGCGCGACGGCCACTTAAACGAGTGAAATAACTGCTGAGATCACAACAAAGATTGTACTGCATCTTTTCAAGTGCAAAAACTTACTAATGGCTATTCCGTGATGTGCGACAAAGAAAAAAGCAATGCCAACACAGGTCGTGATCGGATTGGCGGTTATTATAAATAGTACCGTTAGAAAACACACTCTTTGTTTTGTGTTTAGATTTATTTGTATCACAAAACACGATTTCGCAAGACTAGAAGAACTGATTGAAATCCGAACGAACATCCTAATGTCAATTATTCCCGTGAAAAGCTCATTGCAGTTAAAACAAGTAATGTACACGCCGGCTACGTTTATCATTAGCTGATGTAAAAATAAAATAATACACACACACACACACACACACTAGACGACTTTGTCCTCGAAACGTCGCCGATATTAAATTACAGTTATTTCGGATTCAAAATAAGGTTTCTCCGACCGAGTGACACCGCCGCCGCATTGGATTCCTTCTTATCCTTAATTTTTTTTTTTATACATCGCTTACATAGCTATTAGCTATGCTATTTTAAACGGAACGTGTTGTACGTATAGAAAAAATAATAGTAGTGTATATTTTTGACAGTTTAAAGCGATTGACACGACAGGAAACAAAACAAATATTGCGCAATTTGCGTACAACTAAATAATCAGAGAACACCAATAAAATCATTTTCAAGAGCGAACACTATACAAAGAAATAAGATTAACTACTCTTTTCTGAAAACGTCAAAATCAGTTCATAATAGATATGATACTCGAATATTCAAATTTGTTAAGTATATTAATCTCTCGAAATGATCTACAGAAAGTGGTCGCCTACATTACGAAAAAATTGTTACTGGAATTTGTTTTTTATTTTAGGAAAATTTTAATAACGTTAAATCTATGCGACTTCTTAAGAAGTTTAGCGAATAAAAGCCAAACAACAACACAAAACGTTGTTAAAACGATAGACGAGTTACGCTTTAATTGATTACTGTTTAAGGAGCATAACCCTAACAGAACGTGCCCAGTCGCACAACTGTCTATATTGTTGTATTCTCTACTCCGGAATAGGACACGTATGACTCTTGGAACAGATGTTGACTTTTCCAGGCGATTGTCAACTAAGGCTATCGTCGATTGCAATTTTGGCTGTTCTCTTTTTTAAACAAAAAAAGAACGCCTATAAGGTCACCAACGATACCGTATCCAATAATGTAATATTTTTTTAATGTTCGTTCATTCATAAAATATTGTTATTTTTTTTTTACGTAGGGGTACCTGAGAAACCCGAGAGGTCACCAGCGAGTTGACGAAAACAATAATAGACATCGGAGAGCCTATACATCCATCGGTAGTAACTCGAGGTTACTGCCGATGAATAGTAATTAACTTGATGATGTACATATGAGTACATTATAGTAAAAATCGTATAAGAGACCAACTCGAGTGTTCCATTAAGCCATCGAATGACAAAAACAATACACTTTTTAAGGACTACGATGGCGTTGGGGAACAAACTCGTCCTAGAATTAATCCTTCGATATAAACTAAACGCGTTTACTACACAAAAATGATAGTAATAATATGGTTGACTAACGAAAGTTTCGGGTGCGCCGGACATATGACAGTGTGTCATTTAGTACTGCTCACACGTGACCGGCATGTTGTGAGAGTTTATTGTTTCTCGACGTTCAAACACAATAGAAATACGCGTCCGTCAGCAATAAAAAAGCACTAAACGACTACAAAAATATACACCAACCTGGAAATGAAGTATGATGGTCCAAATGAGACCCAACGTTAGTTTAGGGTTGCCATCCACGATGTCTTCCGCCCGGATATTCACAAGCTTGATCTAAGAACAGAGCAACAAAACAATACAGTAATAATATAAAGGATTTTAACAGATAATACTGTTTACCTTTTTGAAACGAAGGTATTCCAACGCCATCTGAACATTTTGTAGCATGTGAAACCTGAGTTTGCCACGTTCCCTGGGCTGTAAAAACGTTAATAATAATAATAGGAAACTCTCTGTCACACTTACACATATTTAATATTATCGATACACTAAACATTAGTATTTATCAAAGTGAAATTTGCATAGAAATTTTAGGGAAAAAGCTATTTCTCGTGTGTTGTGCTTATTACCCACACACTTAATTATTAAGTACGTAGGTGAATCACGGTATATATTTTTCGAGATTATCGTAAAACCAAAATGAATAAAACAGAATGTCGAAAAAACCAGTGGAACGCGACGACCAGGGGAGAGTGCGGTGACATCAATTTAATGCACTTTTTTTTTTTACAAATTATATTACACAATTTTTAGCCACGGCAAAACAAAGACAAGGATGTTATTCAGGCCTTGGCGCATCACTTTATACGGAATATCAAGTTGCGAGTTGCTGTTGGCCGTAATTACCGTCGTCCGGTTTACTAGGGAACACCTTTCTTGGACGTAATAGCGGCGGCATTTTCCTTCGTTTAGGGTTTTCACAATTGTTGTAATGTGCACGTAATCGCGTATGTACGCGGACAGTGCCACAGCATTAGCACTATATTTATAAATAGGAACATAATATACATGTTTTATCGTCCAGCGACGATAAAACGAGTCAAATGAATAATAGCGATACGAACAGGAGGAGACAGGGGAAAGAAAATCGCACGGATTCGTTGGCATTTGAGTGGGGGAACCGCCTACGAAAATTGCCGCGCGAAGTTACTACAATCAACAGCTTTTGGCGAAATATCAGTCGATTGTGGCTTAATGATAATCTGTCACGTCATAAATCCTACCAGGACCACACCCTTCATGGGCGAACCTTGAAAAGTCTCTGTTTTTTAAAACCGAGTAACTTTGTTTTCTTTATCGCGTCCATTTCGATACGTTTGCACCAACACAAACTTAACAACGATTTCAATGTGATAGTAAACTCGAGCACTTACCAACTGATCGCCGGACAGCACCTCCAGCAGCGATATCAAGTTTAGACCGTCTTGCAAATCGATGAACAGATCGCCCACGTGTCGGTTCGCCTGTACGGCAAAAACATGAAATTAATAATTGATAGTGTTGAAATTTTAGATTGATTAATAAGTTTATCGCTAGTTTTTGTTTGTGTTCGAAACGCAATGTTAATAATTAACACCACAACGCAGCTCTTTGACTACAAACTTTGTGACTTTAGTGTAAAGTTCTAATACAAACAAAAAGCATAAAAGCACTCGAGGCAAATGTTCATATGTGTTACTACAAACTGTGCCGTGTTTATAGTACCAATTATTATTGTTACTTATTTTATGCTAAACATTGTTTTTATATTTAACTTGAAACAAATTGCACGTAACCTCTTATTTATAGATATTATTTTCGCAAAACCTCTAAAAAAAAACAAAAATTTTCACATACACGTATTGGACATTAGTAGTGGTAAACATTTATTATATTTATGTACGTAATTATTTTTTATTTAAAATTACACNGTAACCTCTTATTTATAGATATTATTTTCGCAAAACCTCTAAAAAAAAACAAAAATTTCACATACACGTATTGGACATTAGTAGTGGTAAACATTTATTATATTTATGTACGTAATTATTTTTTATTTAAAATTACACTGATTGTGCGCACGTGTATTTAAAAACTATGCCGCCGTATAGGAATTTTTCGATTATTTCTTACGGTGTAGTTACAGAGACACGAAACGAGGTTGGGTTGAAATTGCTGGTCTTATAAAAACTATAAATATCCAAGTGTTGTGAGTGAGTATATTGATTTTTTACGTGAAATCATCAAATACAAATTATGCACTAATTTTTTTTTTTTACACTCTTGTCGATCGCCAGCAAATGTAGGAACGCGTATATTTTAAATTTGCGTCGTTTAATTATTTTTGTTTTCATAAGTTAAACAAAATACTTAATTACTACATTCATTGAACCGTTTATACAATTTCACAGTATTTTCATGGCGATTCATTGAATTTGACAATAGGAATAGCAGTAGCAAACAAAAGGCATAACAATCGATGAAATACACTAACAAATTAAAAAAAAAAATAAAGTGCCCTTTTTAAAGGATAGTAGTTAGATAAAATAATAATTCAAATCTACAACACACGTTCACAAAACCGTTACGTTATGATATTAGAAACATTTTTAAGAAAACTTACACACAGACAACTAGAACCCGCCTGTGGCGAGCACGGACTTGTCTGAAACGCACAATTATTTTCTACTGCGTTTTCCTATAAAAATAATATAAAAATTCGATACAATTATTTTATAAACAATATTGGATTTCGATTGGACATCTTATATTACAGGATACAAATCTATCTTAATTCGTGTATGTAATATCATACCTTTGAGAATTTCCAATGCTGCATAAAAACGAAAAAAAGGAAGTTCGTATTAATATATTATTGTATTGAATTAATAAAAAAATAGTGTTGACGTTCAAATATTACCACCACCGAGTCATTCGCTGCATAATAATTGCAACATACCGATGTCGTGGGTAAATTTTGCAAAATTCAGAAATCGTTTTTTCTTCTTTTTAGACTAAAACGAATAAATTTGCCCACCTATGGCGTAATACGACGCCTCTAAATTATCACAGCAAAATGTTTATTTAGCTAATCAATGAATGGGAATTGCCAAATAATAGGTAAAAAACATTTCCGTTCGGCGTTGGCGAAAACACATCATTACAACGAAAAGAAAAAAATGTTGGCGTTATTTTTTTGGTTTTTCGGAATGCCTACATCGGATTGCTGTGTACATATAAACCGGCCTTGACCCGATATCGTTGTAGAAAACTCTGATAAGTATTCACGGCGATAGCAATCCTCCAAACGTGTATTATGTGACGGATAGAAAAATAAATAAATATTCGCAATTAAAATTGATACATTCATCGCAATAACGCGCACTGTACGGCGTATGAATAATTAATTACAATTATGAGGCCGTTTTCCGCACTTAAGGAATACACGCCGCCGGTGATTGCAAGAAACGACAATGTGTGCGGTTTTAAAAAACTATTGGACCGTTTGTCGACAACAACTGTGGAAACAACAGTATTTGACCGTATGAATTTAAAAAAACAACACAAGTGATGCATTTCATCGACTTTGAGCCAACTATTTCACCGACCACCGGGCACAGGGGTAACGATCAACAATAACTAAGACGTTATGCACACTATCATTGTGTCGTCGAGCGATAACACACTCGAGTTAACGTATTTTTGTCGGTATTTATTTTTTACAGCAGTTTTAACGACTGTCGAACACAATATCATTATCTCGGACAGCTCGCCGCGTTGTCGTTCGACTATATTTGAAAATATTACTCACTGAACGGGAGTGGTGTGTCCGACGCAACATTACCTTTTCGGGTCCGATAGAGAAACGATTTGCGTTTTTTTTTTTTTTTTTTTTGTTCTTTTTTATCAATTTCTGTTTGGAAAAATAAAGAAATTAATATATTATTTGAAAAAAAAAAAGCATTTATATCAAACCAAACCTACAAATTTTATTGACATCTCAATAGCTACCTTAGTTATAGCAAGAGTTACACATAAATTTAATTTGAATNTTACGCCCACGTACTTACCTTTTTTAAATGCTTGTTCACCCATTTCGTAAACGTTTTCTTTTGTATGGCATCTCTTTCATCTGAAAACATAAAAAAATACATTGATAAGGGAAAAATAATACATTGCAACAGGGTCAAGTGTAGTTGTGGGTCATTTGCCAACGAGAAACGTACCCTACCACGATACTTGACGCTGATAACCTCAAGTATAAGAATGTACACAAACAATATGAGATAACCACCATTTAAGTGGTCTCTAACACTAAATAGAATAGAATGTAAAATTATAAATAATATTTGAAAATATGAATGAATGTTGTGTGTACGGCTAATATTAAATCCGTACACAGAAAGGCAAATCATTAATATAGACAAAATCATTAATCAGTAATGTGTAAATCTATTTTTTTTGGACTTCTAGTTGTCAATTATTTTGCAATCAATGTCTCTATGATAACATTTCCATTGGCGATCTTTATACAATTAATTCGAACAATCGCCAACCCAAGTGAAATCGTATGCCAGTTGTTTTGAAGCTAAAAAATGAGAACAATTTCGAATGTCGCCATCTATCAACAGTATAGAACGGTAAAATAACCGGTTAAGGATTTTCGTGTGAACGAGTTGAGAAAACTCGGAACCAATAAATCTCAACGAGTAGCAAAAAGGACAGTTTTCGCAACACCGCGTAACGAGCAAGTTACGGCTGCAATCGTTTTACATAAAAAAATTTCCCTATGGTTATTTGCACTCGACGACCATTTGCTACGCCGTTTTCCTGTGCAATGGAATAGCCGACCGATCCCCAAACAACAGTGTCGGGTCTTTCACAATATGCGCAAGTTAAGTCAGTAGATCATTCAATAATTGTGCAAGTTAAAGTCTTTGGCGGAATCGCTGCAGATTATAAGTCGTCACTGAGCAATTCCAGCGAATTGATACGCTCATTGTTCTAATACTCCTAATGTTTTTCGCATTATCATTAGTAACGACCGTTCCCGAGGAATTTCTTTTGCAATGACTCTGTGGAAATTCTAATTGAACGCAACAAAAAAATATTTCATTCTATTGAATACATCGGCGCTCTCTATCATCAACACACATCACAGTTGCCTATAAATACATATCATTCCGCCCACGTCGTCAGATAAACTTATTTATACAAATTTATTATCATGACACGCCATGGTGTATTCTTAAAAGTATTTTTTTTAACTATAACAAATACTATTGACATAAATCAATCGGGATCAATGCCAACAATAACACTCCTACAGTTATCAAGTGCAACAATTAAGATTTTCACTAATATCACACGATGATAAATTACTTTACTACAATTGAGCATATTTAACATTTTTTATTATTAATAAATATTTAATCGATTGCAATTGTAGTATCATTTACCAGTTGAATTCAACAACAAGTAGTTCCGGTTAAAATACAACCGTCGAATTTTATCATTAACTTTTTTGGTGGTTAATCGCTGAATTACTTGGCTATTAAAAAAATATATACATAAAAAGCATATATTGATCTCAAACGCATTTATAGGATGAAATCTTAAACAATCAGTCGTTCATCATTAAGTCTACAATAGTGAGTTTGACAACTTGGCGTATTTAACCTGTCCAACGGACATGTGGACTTAGGCCAATGTTTTCTGGGGAACACATTTTCTGNCTCAACAACAAGCAGTACAATGTTCCGGTTAAAATACAACCGTCGCATTGTATCATTAACTTTTTCGGTGGTAAATCGCTGAATTACTTGGCTATTAAAAAAATATATACATAAAAAGCATATATTGATCTCAAACGCATTTATAGGATGAAATCTTAAACAATCAGTCGTTCATCATTAAGTCTACAATAGTGAGTTTGACAACTTGGCGTATTTAACCTGTCCAACGGACATGTGGACTTAGGCCAATGTTTTCTGGGGAACACATTTTCTGGCAACTCGAGTGCATCCAATACACAACGATATTTTATTGAATCCAATTGGCTCAAATTGAATTGATCTACAAAGGATTTTAGATCTGATATAGTTTGGCATCATATGAACTGCATAGTTAGTTATTTGTTACCGACTACTGTCAACTCATCATGAACGCCAAAATTATACTAGTCTCCGAGTACCACATACATATCATTTTAAACGTTGGACAAAGTACATTAAAAAAATTAGGTGGGACAAAAGTATCCCCTCCAAATAAAATATATCATCTGTTCTGCCTACACTAAGCTTTGGTTACACGTACAATAGCACATATGAGTAATGCAAATGATTGCGATACATTAACAAGAACGGATTGTTATTGACTTAATTTGTAATAAACTAAGAAATATCGATAAAATACACACTTTGACACTTATACTGAAATTATATACTTCTTAAGTGTTATGAAGTGTCCAACTGATCTAATTACAAAGCAGAGTGTGTGTTATTGACATGTGTATGCCGTCGTGCGTGTATTCTGTTTAACTGCTAACAGTTTATTTCTGAACATGTTTTAATGTTTTCTAAACAGAAAATTACTCATAATCGTTCTATAATTGTTCTAACACATAAATCATCATCACAGTACAACAGAAATTAGGATCTTTCCTATTAGTTTAAACGCCTAGATACATTTCAACAATAATTCTCCTGTCACTTGAACTTTTTTAAATTTCATTAGCATATACATGCAAAATAGAAGTAAACTCTATATGGGACACAACATAAAAGTACTACACATGAAAACAATTAGTGGTTTATTAAAAATTCATCGCCAAAACTACTGCTGATTGTTAAGTTCACCAAAGGTTACTTAGGTTGGTTATCTGTGTTAATTATTGGCGTTCTATATCATCTCGTATGCAGAACGAATAAATTCAACGCCAGTTATCATTAAACTTTACACTCATATGTATTAAATAACTGCCATAAAAGGCAATAAAATCGTAAAATATTAAAACTGAATAATTAATATAACATCACAGGCATATATATGTACATGTACACCGAAGTTGATGTTTAATCATTATAATTTATTTATTGCCAACGCGGTCATCTACACAGCAAATATTGTAAGCACATTTGCACTCTGCGTGTATAATTTATTTAACCTGCTTGCAAATAAAAGTACCGAAACCACTGTTCGCCATAACGAATAATTATGTCACACTACTCTGACTCATAAAAAAAAAAAACAAATTATATTTCTAGGAAATGTGTGCTCCGTTAGAAACACACGCCATTGGCTAATGTTGAAAAAATCTCAACGTCAGATTACACTTTTGGTCGTAACGCACAAAGAGTCCGTAGAATTTTCAAATTCGGACGGTCTAACACAACCAATCGTAGAAAACGCACGGTAACGACAAAGTACTTTTTTACGTTCACGGGGAAAAACGCATAAAAAGGCTGTACACATGGCGTAAGGTTATTAACAACGTCATAATTTTTTGCCGGCCGCCGCCATTTATTCGGATGTAAGTGTAAGTGGAGTGCGCTGTGTAATGTTATACGTTGCGCACGTGATTCGAGCGAAACGACATTGAATTTTCTTTCGAGGATAATTAGCGAACACGGTAACTCTTTTATCGTCGAAAAAATTAGAACACGGCTACAAGTCGTATCCGTAAGCCCCATTGGACAAAACTTAAGGTCAGGAAAACAAATTGAATGAAAAGCAACGTTTCCCACACGTTGTCCGATACCACTACGATAATCGCGCGTTAACGGATTTTCCACGGTGCAATAATTTCGTATCCTCTCACACGACGTTCACCTCGATTGAAAAAACAAAAGAAAAACCTGATACTTGAGGTCGAAAATCTATTGTACGCCACGATATTTCTAATTAACGGATGGTCGCCACGCGCGCGCCAACGAAAGCGAAACAAAACAACGTGAATGAGATTAACGAACGGGTACACACGTTCGCAGCAACACAGCCGTATACGCCTAGAAGATATCATTGTGTGTTTTTTATGCGCGCACACATAAATACGAGCACATTAACAAAGCAGAAGAGAGTTGCACCTCGCGGGTCTCTATTGTAGCGCCTACCCGAGCGGCGGTAACCGTTTGCAGGCGCACACGCGAGCCGATGACCGATACCGCGACGGAACGGGCGGGCACGCGAACCCATCAGAATACTCGTCGTTGGGTCAACGATCACGCGGCGCTTGTAGGCAGCCAAGTTCGGTGCCCGTTTTCTTAAGCATTCTTAACACTAAGCACAGAACGCGACAACAAAAGCAGCACCGGTGTGCCTGTCCGTGTTCGGGTCGATCTATGCCAAGGTCGGATGAGACACACGTAACCAGAAGGTATTTAGGACATCACGTCCCGGTAACAGACAGCGTATGTACGTATATAGTTAGCGGGTACACTTGGCAGGGTCCAAACAAGTGCTACCGCGGACTTGACGAGTATCGTTTATTGATTATGTAACGCACAACTAGTAAAAAAATAAAAACATCGGAGCATATGTAATCATGTGTGCATTGTTAGCTATACAGCCTCGAAAATGTGCTTGCTCATTTACAAGAAACAATAAAACGCTAGAAAATAATACAAAAAAAAAAAAGTTATGTTTCAGCACACACTAATTAAAATTACATGAAAATTTAATGCATTTTTTCTTTATTTACGCTTTAAAAGAGAGCAGGAAAACAACAGTTTTACGATACTCCATTGATTTCTTCATCCTTGAACCAGCTACTGGAAATTCATTCGGTCGTTTAATGCGTATTATAATGTTAAAACTTATGAAGTTTACACTTTTTATCTATCCTGGTTTAAGTTATTCGGCTCGGAACATGTTTCAGTTGAATTTGTCAGTTTGCAATAGCGAATAATTTCTGATGACTCTCGTTTTACTAGGTCGAGTGTGTCACTAGTAAACGGCTTATAATTAATTTCCATACCGCGTCTGTGTACTTGGACGGTTTTAAATAATTTGAAGGCGATTGAAACTTCAATCAAATGTTAAGCCTATAACATTAAACGACTACCATCCTGAGATGCTCGTGTTGGAAAAGCAAACGACGATAAGAAAAACCATGTTTGTGTGATAATTTTACAC